CGAGGAACCGATCGCCTCAGAGGCCACCTGAGTAGCCTCCTTGAGTGCCGAGCCTTTGCCGTGAGGCTTAGTGCTCTTGGCTTGCGCCTAACCGGCAGCAGCCTTGGAGCGTGTCTTAGCACCGCTCTTTGCAGTGCCACGAGGCATGGTAACGGTCGAATTGGAGACCTAGCCGAAGAGCGCACAGGTTGCTGCTCGAGGCTCTAACTGTGAAGTGAGCCTCCGCCGCGCTCGCGCGGCCAAGTCGATGGTTTTCGACTTTGAGAATGAGAGTTTGTGACGAACACCTCTTCATTCTGATTGGTCGGTAAACCGAACCTAAGTGGGGGAATATGTAACGGGGTACGTAGCCCTAAGTGTACCCTGGTTACATGAGGTGTGACACTTCACACTTCAGGTGTATGACACGTCATACTCCGGGATATTTGGTACAAGGTACCAACATCGTTCAAAGCCAACCATTGGTCAAACGACATTGCATTTCTATAGGTAACTTATAGTTTGTATTAAACCCAAACTTATACTACCTATAAATATACTCAGTTTACAATCTACCTTATTTAGGTCACTTCGCTCTCTTTAAATAAAGAGGGGTCCTGTGAACTGCCGTTCACTGAGAGTTTGTATACTCTCGGAAGATAACTTCCTCTAGCGCGCGTCGCACAGGACTTAGACGGAGCAATTATAGTTTTGGCAAATCAAATCAGCAACAGTATGGGTACATTGACGATATTGGCTGAAAATAGGTAGGCTATTAAACTGGCAAAAGCTACTAAATTGACCGTTTCCCTTGCCTCCATTCCGAAATAAACGACCGATTGAAAAATAAACAACAATTTTATATCCTCTTGAAACCGATTCCTTTTAAAACTGATTAGTACCGCAGACGTAGGGCTAGTTTGAACGTCGCGCTCATTTTCAAATTCAAGTGCTACCTCGGACCTCTCCCTTTCATCGGAATGAAACAAGCCACCGACGAAGAGAGGCGGATGCTGTGGGAAACTCTGCTTCTGCATAGCAAGTGTGGACAGCTTGATCACGGTAACATTACGTGGATCGCAGACCAGTTGCAGTATGGTCGCAAGGTCGTATTGCGGATACGGCACCAGGGAATTGGCTCAATGGGACCTCGCAAGGCGGCTGTGGTAAAATTCAGAGCTAGCGCACGGGGGACGAAGCAAGTGGATCGCCGTGCTCTGTGTTAGCTCGTCGCTGAGGTTCGGATAGCCGACCGCAAAACCCAGCAGACGCTCCAGCTCGCGACGAACACAAGTTGCTATCTTATCCAGCAGCTTATCAAAGAATGATACCTGCGTCGGGCCCAGAAAGGACAAAACTGTTACTTACCGCAAAACACAAGGAGGATCGTATGCGATTCTGCATTGAACATGTCAACCAAGCTGCGGATGGCAGCTATTGGTTTGACCCCCTTCTCGACGTCGTTCATATCGACGAGAAATGGTTTTACATCAAGATAATCGGGCAAAAGGTGTACATCCTGACGGGTAAAGATGATGTTCCGACTGAAGAAGTACCACTCCAGTATGCGCAGAGTAAAAGCTACTTGATTAAAGTGATATTTTTGAGCGCTGTCGCTTGCCCTAGAGAACTTTGAGATGGCAAGATTTCCATGTGGCCTATCGTGGAGGAGTACGTGACACAGCGCAGCAGTGTAAAGCGTCCTGCAGGTGTCATCGAGCTAAAGCCTGTCAAGATGACGCGTGAAATCTCACGTAAGATGCTGGTGGAAGACATAATTCCAGCAATCAAGACGAAATGGCCGCGCGATTAAATGCTACAAGCCATTAAGATTCAGCAGGACAATGTCCGCTCCCATGTCCATGCAAATGATCCAGTGGTGGTTGCTGCTGGAACGAGTGACGGCTGGAACATTTGCCTCACCAACCAACCGGCTCAGAGTCTAGAGATTAACGCGTTAAGGGTACGTCTTTTTGTACAGCATTCAATCGCTGCAGTCTCAAGCAAAACCGCGGAATGTCGAGCAATAGATTAAGGAAGTGAATCTGGCATTTGAAGACACCTCTGTGGGTACACTTGAGAGGACGTTTGTTACACTGCAGCTAATGATGAAGCACATCACGCATTGCCGTGGGGACAATGCCTTCCGCCTTACCCACTTTAATAAGGATCGCTTACTGAGATAGGGCAGACTTCCCCTCTCTGTTCCTTGCGCGTCTCAGCTGTACTACGACACGCTTGCAGCAATCGTGCCGTCTATTGTAGTTCATGCTCCTTCAGACTTAGATGACTCGTGAACTGATCGCTTATGTGTCCGCATACAGGTACCTCTACACACTTTATAAACGAAAAATATATGAGGCGGAGCTATGCGCATTTTTTCATTCGGTCTTTATTTCCGAATGGAGGTAGTCTAATACTAGATAATATTTCATGATATTTTTCCACCTAAGTACGTTCTTGCCATCTTACCCTCTGCTGAGTGAACCGAGAGCCCACCAAAGAGTTCTAAGGTAGCAGTAGCGATGACAAACTTTAAAACGGATGGATATTTGCTCTAGTATTTCACTGTGACACCGACGAAGCCGATCGGATGAAGAACTGCAAGCGGTTGCAGTTGTTTGAAGTCGATAGAGCAAAATCAAAATATTTGTTCTTGTTCTCTTTAGCTACCACGTTTCGTAAAGGTCTATGTGGACCAGGGTTAGCCCTTACCCTGTAGCCCCTGATCCCACCCTCAAGCAGGGGTACTATTTTAGGGGCTCTATTTAAGGGAGGGGCACAAACCATTGTCACGTCAAGTGAGTCGTGTTGAAGTTTAAGTTTTGCCGGGTCCTACTACTTTTTTAAACTTAAATGTAAAGATCGTCGATGATTATTAATAGCTCTCCTTCGTCGGAAAGGCAACCTCGTTATTCGTACCGCCTTGGTTCCGCAGAGGAAATAGTGAAAATTCCCAAGGGGCACTATAATAGGAGGGGTGTTATTTTAGGGAGGGGGCTTTCATAGTTCCCCACCCAACTTGCTCAAAAATTTTGTAGAGAGGTTACATGTATTTAAGGGGGGGCACAATTTTAGGTTTTACAGTATTGTGCTTTGCAGATGGAATGTTCAAAGCACGGGCGTGGGGGTTAGAAGCTGATAAACCGGTATATCCGCTTCGACCGTTTCAACTCCATCGAAGGAACAGGGTATACCGGAATTCTAAGGAATAGGCGAGGTGTAACCTTAAAAAAACTGCTCAACTTCATCTCCCTGGGGCCCCATTGGCCGATAGCAATACTGTTTGACTTTCGGTAAGGGCCGCATTCAAATAAGCCGTAACAACAGCCGCGACTAGGAAATACTACATGTACGAGCGAGGAAAGGCATTTCCTACGTGTATCCAACAACGGCGTTGTACTGGATTGTTTTCAGTACGCTGCAAGTGCGCTCGCCCATGCGCGTGGGAGAGAAGATTAAAGGACCTACGGGAGAGAAAGATATCCGTTTTCGAGGCCTCAAGATGGAAGCTCAGCTCCAGCGGCGTCAGCGTTGTAACTCTGAAATTTGCCGTCTCCAAAGCACCTAAAGACGCCAGCCTAACCCATCCAAGCATTTGTTTCAACAGCTGTAATGTCTTCGTGCTCTTAATTTATGGACTATTGCCTTGAGTCACACTTACATTCTATAAAAATTAATTTCGTTCTGCAAGGAATCTCCAAGTTTGCTGTGAGTCCTCGCGATTGACCGCTCTGTCTTACAAGTGATCGTATTGCTGGCAGTGGTCAAGGTGCAGTATGTGAGCAGAAACACCCGCACGAACTAGCTCGCTGGCTTTGTTGGAGTGCAGAAGTGGTTTGGTTGAGCCATGAGCTGGTTTAATCGGGCTGCTACCAATGAACAATCTACGAACTGGTCATGCAGCGACGATGCACAGAGCGACTCGCAAGAGCAATTGATGGATTCCATCGAGCCGGACCATGTGTGCATGACCCACGAAGCTGTTGTGAGCCACGAGGGTAGTGCACGTATTTCGCCAAGGAGAGCGCCGCCTCAGATTGGTAATCATGCTGCTGACCTGCCTTCACACGCTCAAAGTAGTCTCCAGCAAATAATTTCACAGCCCTAGCATCCGATGAGAGCCCAGCAGCATCTACCGCAGCCTACACCAACTGGTAACGAGAGGTCAGCACACCGGTCAAGTGAAGGAAGTGCCGTAGCCATATTAGCACCGACAGGATCTACAGATACTCAGCAAACCGCTGATGAACCTCAACATTCTGCGTGGCCCCCTGAACAATCTGAACTGTACGGCGTGGACGATATTGCTAAGATCCCAGCGTGCATCCGCTCTGCCGTTCTCGAGTTTCGCCCGACGCCTACCTCTACCACTTCCAACCACCGTTCGATCACGTTTAAGTATGGAGCTCGTGTGAATTACGTTTTTCGTGGGACACCTGTCGTCGAGTGGCTGTGTATGGCAAGTGATGCGTGTCGACGCAAGTGTAGCTGCACGGAGGTAAACATCAAACCCAACGAAGCATTTATCCACAACCCATCAAATCTACTCAGCAAAAAACGATACTTCAGACTGCACGTAAGCGCAGTCGTGAGGAGGAGGTGAATCGGATCTTGGCGTCGGCTTTGTGCAGAGAAGACACGAAGCGATTATCGGTGCTCCTTGAAACGATTCGACTAATGTTTAACAACCTTCCATTTCGCTTTGGAGAGTAAGAAGAGTCCATAATTATTCGTGAACTTGTCTCCAAAGAAGAATTCAAGACTGCAGTAAACGCTAGAAACGTCACGCATGCTTTAGTGGAGCTGTATGCAGCCGCATGACCGGTTTTCTAAAAGACAATCGGGCTAGCTTTATTAAATGTTTCACTATGGTTGTTGACGTTTGGACGTCTAAACTTCAACACAAGAAATATATTGGTGCTCGAGTTTATTTCATCGATGCCAAGTTTGGGCTACGTTTTCTTGCTTCTGGGAGCTCGACACGTCAGCCCTTTGTATGGAGAGCGAGATCAGGGGATTCACGGTCCGTTTGAGCGATGGTTGGTAAGCATTCTGCGAGATTTTGGGCTGACGCCATCGGATTTCTTCGGTGCAACGACTGACAGCGGCCCCGACGTAAAATAGATGATGCAGGACGGGTTGGAGCTTCGCTGGGGGTGGTGTGTGTCGCACATGGTAAACGCGTCGACGAAGATGGCGTGTGGCTTGACGCACAAGTCATACAATCCTGACATGTCCGAACTATTGAACAAGATGTCGAAAACTGTGTACGACACAGTCTCGAACTCTACAAGATTGTGTCGTACACGGTTTTCGACATCTTGTTCAATAGTTCGTACATGTTTGCTTCCCTCACTTTTGACTATGCTGGGGTAGGGCAATGGAGCAAAACTAATCGGGTATAAACCGCACCGGTTTATGGGAATGGCCGCAACAATGCAGAGAATCCTGGATAAGTGGCCTACTTTAGAGGCTTGGTATAAAGAACGGGATGCCAAGCTTTGAACTCAAAGCATGGCCGGAGCATAAAACCATGCGTAAAAATGAGATGGGAAGAGGCAGATCAATTTGTTTTATCTGTGATCGAATTACCATTTCGTCTAGGCAAAAAGGGTTGATTTACAGGATATCGATGTGGATTTGGTGATTGATCGACATGCTCATGTATTGGGAGTATTTTCCAAAAGCAGTACCGATTTGACCCAATAGTTTCGGAAGCAGTACCGATCTCATGGACAACATACTCGATGGAGGGTTTCACACGCTGGTACAGCGACGAATAATTGTAAGACGGGAGCTGAAATGTAGTGGTGTCTGTACGTGCGCCAACACTGTTCCCTACTTTCTGTAGTCATGTAGACGAACCCATCGTCCGTAGTCGTAAATGTGAGCACATCATCGTTATTAATAGTCATATAGGCGAGCACATCGACCGTTGGGATAAATCTTCCGTAGGCATGCACGCCAATACTGCGTCCATTATTTTCGTTCTCCATCGAGTTCTGGACAGCGTACATGCTCTTATCCGTCTATTTTGAGTGTCTTGTGGAGTTCTTGAGGATTACTACAAAGCACTTTCGTGCGATAATTGATTTTCATCAGCCTCAGACACCTCAACCTTATCGATGGCTTCGTCAAATCTGTTGTGCCGCAATATCATTCAGTTTGTATGCAGAGAAATGAAGTAAAATGATAAATCAATAATGGTGTAGCTCTCTGCTATTGGTTGCGATGGCAGCAACTCGTCCTAGCCATTCAAGAAGAAAGAGGCCGCGTGCCCCATCACTAAGATAGGTGAAGCCGAGGGATGTAATGGAGAGATGGCCGATGCCATCTCACTTCCAAAACTGACGGCCTAGATCAACAACTACCTACAGCTGTACGCAACATTTCAAGTACTCCGATGTCCACCGATGCTAAGTCTGGCGGTGGACTCGAGAAGTTTAAGGGCAAGTCGTACACAATGTGGAAAGACAAGCTTTTGACGCACGTCAATCAACTCGACCATCAGTACCAACGCAAGCAGCTGGAAAAGGGCCAGCCTGAAGCGAAGGTGCTCATGGCGGACTTCCTCCGGGGATGTCCGGACAAGCCACCATCACCGACCAATACTATGGATGAGCAAGAGGCGCTCTCTATCAGATGGGACATGATGCACTGGATGAGAGGAAGAGGAGACCTTCAGAACCTCCTCAACCAAGTCCTCCCAGACTTCTTACTAAACACGTTGCCGGACGTGGTGTCCTCAATGGACCCAAGCGAAGTGATTTGGCTCCTGGAAAAGGATTTCGGTCAGGGTGACGCGGCTGGCCTCATCGACTTGATGAGAGCCTGGGCTAAGTTGACACGCGGCCCATGGCGCGACTTAAGGTCGCTGTTCGCGCAACTGAAGAAGGCTAAGAACGAAATCAATAGAAAGACAAAGAAGCTGTTCGATGAGGAAATGGTGACAGAGTCCTGGGTGTGTGTCGAGGTCCTTTCACTGCTGCCTAGCGAGTTCTGGGCCTCTTCGATCTCGCTGAAGAAGGGCGATTTCAATATCGATCAGGTCGAGAGCGCACTGCGCAAGATATTTGGAGACAAGTCCAAGAAAGAAGTGGGTCTTATGGATAAGTCCCACCCGATCACCATCAGCAACGTGCGGGTGAATGGTGGGCAAAAGCGAAAAATGGGTGGCAATGAGGGTGGCAAGTGCTTCTACTGCCTACAGACGGGACACTTCAAGGCGAATTGCCCGACTATGGCTGCCGACAGGGACCCCAACCGTTCAGGTGGACCCCTCTTCCGCACCGACGTTAACACGGCACCAGGTGCAAAGAAGGCCAAAAAGGGCAGGACGACCGCTATCAACACGATCACAGCGGTTGTGAAGGACGGCAAGACGCACGTCAACAAGGACGGAAAGACGCTGTTGGAGGAGTGCATGGAGGATGAGGCTATGGACGACATTGAGAGTTTAAACCCAGCCCTCCATGAGGATTTTGAGGACATGGGTAACTCAACCCAGACCCCAAATGAGGCTCTCCAAGATATGGACCAACTCGAAGATGAGGTACGTAAACAAAATGCATCGTACTTAAAAACGTTAAAGCGGTTAACCGTAACCGATGATATGTGGGTGGTCGACACTGGTGCAGGCCGAGCTATAACATCAGACAGAAGCTGGTTTACTGGGAAGCTCCGACCTGGCCAGAATACCGTGTTCACTTACGGTAATGGAACTGTTTCACACAGCTCTCTTAAAGGATCAATAAAACTTAGCGTTTTGACTCCAAAAGGAAGATTAAGTGATATATCATTGACAGATATTTCGTTTGACCGACAGTGTGATAGCAACTTACTCAGTTCATATTACCTTGCTCGGCACGGTTATAGACACCTACAGTCTAAATCAGGTGATTTTCTGTTCTTTTTAGGAAAGAACTTTAAATTGCTGTTTGCAGCTGTGGCAATAGGCGAAGTCTACTACTTACCGAGCGCGAAACCAGCTAGAAAGAGTGCTTTTAATGCTCAACTAAGCAAAGTTGGAGACATACTAAAGGAATGGCATCTGAGATTAGGCCATGTGGGCAAAGAACGCCTAATTAGAAGCATGAGCAATCAGAAACTAAAGGGGTTACCTAACCTCTCTTACTCAGAACTCAAGAAAGTTTCATTCTTTTGTAGTACATGCGCCTCAATGAAGGATCGCAGAATGTTTTACAGGAATTTGATAGGAAACAAATCAACAGAGCCATTGCACACTCTGCACATGGACTCTACTGGAAGGTTGAGGGTTAATGGACTGTAGGGTTCCTTCGGTTATCGGTATGCCCTTGCAGTGGTAGATGATGCCACTGCCTATAAGTGGTATTTTGCAGTAAAATCCTTGAAAGAGGTTCGAGGCAAAATCCGGACCCTCTTAAAACAGTTGGAAGTACAGTTTCCCTTATTTAAGGTTCGCAGAATTAGGACAGACGGTGGGACTGAGTTCCTAAACAGTGAGGTTTCTAAACTGTGTTCTAAACTCGGTCTAGATTTCCAAAGCTCTAACGTCGAATCCCAAGAAGAAAATGGGAGTGCTGAAAGAGCACATCAAACCATGATGGCTGGTGTGCGCTGTGCACTTCGAGGGGCCAATATGCCAGCAAAGTGGTGGCCCGAAGCTCTACTCTATATTGTCGATATTACAAACCGACTACCTATGGCGAGGCTCGGGATGAAAACCCCGTATGAGCTGTTACATCGGAAGCAACCCAGTGGTTTAGCATTTAGGATCTGGGGCTCAAAGTGTTTCGCACATGTTCCTAAATCAAAAAGGAAGGACCCAAAGCTGGGTGATAGGGCAATTGAGTGCAAGCTTTTGGGACTTTCACCAAAATACAAAGGGTACCGTCTTCTTGATGTGAAGGCGAACAAGTATCTTATAGCGAGAGATGTGAAGTTTAGTTTGACTGGTACAGAGGCTATGATCAGACGCTCGTTTCCCAATGAGGACTCCAGCATTGATCACGAAGAGGTACATGCTATCGGTCAGCTAGGCAAACAACCAAGAGGCACAGTTGCAGGTGAAGTGCCGGCTGACGAAAGCTCAGAACCGGTCACTGACCTACCGACATCCCGACTAGTGGGAGATAAGCGACAGGCTACCAGTGACGTCCGTCGATCAAAACGGCAGCGAGCACGCAACGTAAGGCTTAGTGACTACGTGACCCAGCTATATCTTGTAGCGTCAGATAAGCCGGACAGAATCCCTGTTCCGAAATCGATTAAGGAAGCGCGACTAAGTCCTTACGCTAAACAGTGGGAGTCTGCAATCAAAGCAGAATATGATGCCCTTTTGAGTAATAATACATGGGAACTTGTACCATTACCTAATGGTTGCAGAGCCCTTGGGTGCCACTGGCTGTTTGATGTCAAGTACCATGCAGATGGGTCTGTTGACCGCTTTAAGGCTAGGCTGGTTGTTCAGGGTAACACACAGCTATATGGCATCGACTACAAGGAGGTATTCGCTCCCGTGGCCCGCTATGAGTCTTTGCGGGTGCTGTTGGCATTGGCCACAATTCTAGGACTGGAGCTACACCAAATGGATGTATCTACAGCCTTTCTAAATGGTATCCTACATGAAAGTATCTATATGAGGCAGCCATTGGGATTTCGTCATGGCACTGGGCACCTTGTATGTAGGTTGAAGAAAAGCCTGTATGGGTTAAAACAGGCACCCAGAATCTGGTATGCCGTTCTAAATGAGTTTCTTACCAGCTTAGGATTTTTAAGATGCAAGAAAGAACATTGCTTGTATCTAAAACGGTGGGATATCAAAGGGATTGAACACATTCTGATCATATGCGTCTATGTTGACGACCTGACAATTGCGGGCTCACATCTGAGCTCGATCAGCGATCTGAAGGCTAAACTGTCTGCAAAGTTTACAATGAAAGACTTGGGCGAGTTGCATTACCTGCTAAAAATGGAGATCAAAAGAGATTCACAAAAGAAAACACTCAGAATCTCACAGCAGAAGTACATCAACGATCTTCTGGTAAAGTATCAAATGCGAGACTGTAGTACAGAACCCACACCACAAGCGAAAAGTGTTATATTAGAAAAGGAAAAGGATATGAACCCAGAACAGATAGCGGCCCAACCATTCGATTACAGAGGTTTAGTGGGTTCACTGATGTATCTTGTCCGAGGTACTAGACCTGATATTGCTAATGCTGTAAGAGAGCTTAGTAAATATCTATCTTGCTATAATAAGACCCATTGGAGGGCGGCTCAGCGAGTACTAAAGTACTTGAAAGGAACGTCAAAGTATGGCATTGAGTACAATGGAAATAGTACCACTAAGTTAGAGCTATACACAGACGCGAGCTTCGCGAATGCATCTGAAGGAAGGAAGTCAATCACAGGATATGTATCAATACTTGCTGGTGCATGCATCTCTTGGAAAAGTATTAAGCAAGATTGTATTAGTATTCATACAGCAGAATCTGAAATAGTAGCCGCCAGTAAAGGTGTTCGAGAGGCGATGTGGTTGAGGCTACTATTGAAAGAATTAGGCTACGGCCAAGTACTACCCACCCAATGCTGGTGTGATAATACTGCCGCAATAAGTATCATTAAGGATCCTTGCAGTCACTCATCTACCAAGCACATTGATATCAGACATCTGTATGCCCGTGACAAACATGAGGACAAAAGTATCATTGTGAATTACTGTAGCACCAACGACATGGTGGCTGATGCCCTTACGAAGCCATTAAGCCAAACACAGGTTGAAAAACTCAGATCTATGATGGGGATAAAAGAGTTGGGTTAATCATCAGCCTCAAATTTAGTTTTACGCCTCAAATAAGGTTAGGTCCCTCAAATAAAAGATTGACGGTCATTTGGTGTAAACACAAGCTCTTGTCAATTTAAGGGAATTATTAAGAAGTTTAGGAAAAGATTTACAGTAAAGGAAGGCCTTAAGGAAAGGGTTCTGGTTACAGACTAGTTTTAAAGTTAAAACCTTTAGTTTAATGGTCACCTAGCCCTAAGTTTGGAAATTGAACAGGTCCAGGCTATTAGCCACTTGCTCTTGAGTACATTTTACTCAAACTTTCGGTTAATTTCACTCCTGACTCTCTCAATTCCCGCCGCTGAAAGGCACAACTGGTCTAAGACTAGACACCCACGAGTGGCCGAATGATCGGACTTTCTACTTGCAGAGCTCACATCATGGGCGCTTGGCTAACCGTTTGAGGTGCCAAAAGGCCGGGACCTGAATGGCCGCTGTGGCTTAGGCCAGTCTGCTGTCGCCGAAGAAGGATACAAGCAGCTTGTGGATGCCCCCCCCCCCGAAGGGCTTTCGTCGGGACCCGCACCTGTGCAGTTCGGAAGAAAAAGAGAGAGTGAAGAGCTCAGTCCAATATCGGCAACAAACAATACAAAGAGTAAGTCTCTTTAGAATATAAGATAAAGTATTGGATCAGATTTTGGGTTCTGCGACAAGGCAAATCTGGGACCAAGGTGGTAACAAACCATCCCTCGAGAAGGATCTTGAGTGACAATGAGAAGACGTTAAGTGACGAAGAAATGATGGAGAACGTGAGCATCTTTAGTGGGAGTGTTGTGCCGCAATATCATTCAGTTTGTATGCAGAGAAATGAAGTAAAATGATAGGTCAATAATGGTGTAGCTCTCTGCTATTGGTTGCGATGGCAGCAACTCGTCCTAGCCATTCAAGAAGAAAGAGGCCGCGTGCCCTATCACTAAGATAGGTGAAGCCGAGGGATGTAATGGAGAGATGGCCGATGCCATCTCACTTCCAAAACTGACGGCCTAGATCAACAACTACCTACAGCTGTACGCAACAAAATCAACCTCGTATGGATCTTGAATCCGAGTATGGCACTTCTCAGCTGATCATCGGACTTTCATTTAGTTCTGGCAAGACAGCAACGTACTTCATGCAGGACTATACATTCAACTCCAATACAAATTGTGTGGTCGAGAGCAGCGGTAAGATGAAGAAGTACAAGTGCGACGACAACCGAAATGGTGCCGAAGATGGGTGCAAATGGGAAGTCAGAGTCTCGTGTAAGAAAAAACGTGACAGCACTCCATTTTTTGGGGTCTCATCAATTAACGATGAGCACAGCGATTTCTGCGCATCTATCGCTAAACCAACAAGGCTCCAGCTTGCCCAGCTAGCAACGCTTCGTGCGGCCGCTCTTGGAGATCGAACAATTAAACGTAAGGCTTTAGTCTCCATGTTACAGTCCGGAGATGGAATAAGCATGCCGTTTAGCCGTTCGATGATGTATCGCGCGAAGAACAACATTTTACAGAGCGCCAATGGCGAATGGGAGGCTTCTTTTAAACGTTTCCCATCTATGCTTGCAGACCTCCGAGATAGCAGCAATGGCACACTGATATCTCTAAGCGTTGATCAACATCAACGTTTCTTGCGGTGTTTTGTCGCGTTCGGGGCAAACATTGCGTGTCAATAAGGTTCCTATGATGCACAATGTTGCAGGTGTGGAGATCAGCATCCCAGCGACATTGCACTGGGGTCACCGCTTCAAGGTGACTTGCCTTCGTTTCTTGAAGCGGAAGAAGTAAAGACCGGTGAGCACGGAATAAATGATCTCGACAACCTCAGTGAAGCTTTATGCGAATGCAGCAACTTTGAGAATGAAAAAAAACTCCCCATGTTTAAGTGGAGAACGTCAAATTTTGTGGAGAGCGCCAGCGATGTATTGATTGAAAATGACGTGCGCCAATCCGATCCCTGCAATGGTATATACAAAATAGCTGTTGAAGAAATGGCGAAATTTAGTCAACGGCGCAACACAATTAATTCGTGGCAAAAATCTAAGCTGATTTTAACCTCTTACGCGAAGAAACTCTGGATATTAGAAAAAGAACTTGTTGGCGAATACAAGGTAGGACGATCGAGCGACACCATATCTTACGTATCACATCCTGGGGTGACAACCCGGAGTCGTGAAGTGAACATCCCAAATTTATGGTGTACGTGCAGTCACTTCGATCAAATGAGGATGGCTTGCCGCCACAGTTTTGCAGTATTGCGTGAGCGTGGCATCCAAGATCAAGCTCTACCATCCTACGTATTTGGCGTCAAACTACAAATCTACTTTTTCCGACAAGAGTATGAATCTTCCCGTGAGAGACGCCCCACCGCGGAGTGCGACTGTGAAGCCGTCTCCATACTACAGACAAGCTGGCCGTCGCGTAACCCGATGGATTGCAAGCAGTGGAGAGAGCAACAACTGTTCGACTTACGTTTGTCGAGGATGCAGAGAAAACGGTCACAATAGGAGGACGTGTCGGCGTCATGCACACGATTAGGATGAAGCTAATCCCGATCTTATGGCCACGATATTTGATCTCCCGTCCGTCCAAACAGATGGGAGATCTAATGCAGGATCAAGTACCATTGATCTGGATCTAGCGCACCAAGCCCAGTTAAGCGAACAGAACGCATACCAGCTCGAAGATCGACCCGACATCCAATCATCAAACGAAGGATCTGCCCACGGTAGCCGAATGTCACTGAACTTCCTCTTAGGTAACTAAGCCATCTACAAATACATTTACAGCAAATGTTTTCTCCGAAGTTTTTAAAAACATTTTATTTAATATCTGTAACTCGACAATTTATTTGAGGCTTATGCTTCCTTCAATACATGTATGGCTGATGCTGAACGGTTGAATTCAGCTAAATTTACTTTATTCTTATCTTTCCCATCGGTCTACAGTCCATGATAATGGTACATGTTAGTACGTATGCGTCCGGGCTTTAAATATTATGCTTGGACACAGCTCTGTGCCAATTGTCGGTGTGTTAACAGTGTTGGCGCACGTACAGACACCACTACATTTCAGCTCCCCGTCTCACAATTATTCGACGCTTCACCAGCGTGTGAAACCCTCCATCGAGCATGTTGTCCATGCTTCCGAAATTTTTGGGTCCAATCGGTACTGCTTTTGGGAAATACTCCATGTATTGGATATTACATGTGTACTGTACCAGTACATCGAAGTACCGGTATGCATCATTCGAATGATGCAAACGGCAACTTCATTTCTGAACCAGAATCGAGTAATCACGTTGATGAACTTCGTCTCATTATAAAGACATTGCTGCTGGTCAACATTTAGACTCAAGATGTTCACTTTGGATTGAATACTACTTGTACAGGTATGGGAACTACCGGTGTTTGTACTGACGATCGCATGTCAAAGAGTTAAATATGTTTTGTACAGTCACGCCACCTGAGGAGTTGGTGCGTGCTCTCCGCTTCTGGGGGAGCTGGATGAGAGCAGGTAGATGCTATGTACGAGCTCGAGCTCGTTTTCTTCGTCGCCGCGCATGCGTCGCAGCATCTCCTGCTCGCCAGCGAGCTGGTGTTTGCGGTGCCGCCGGTAGATTACCGCCACTACGCCAACGAGCGACACGGCCCCCAGTACGCAAGTCACCACGATTAGAGCAACTTTGTAACGATGCCGGGAACTATCCAGCGCCGAGACCTGGTGATTTAGCTCGTCCAATGTCGAGCCAGACGACGCACCTGAATCGGAGCTGCCACTATCGGTCAAACCATCGATACCGCCACGGCTGCTGCTGTTGGTTGTCAAAAGTACCCCGTCATATGCATCTTCCACGCCAAGCACCAACAGACTCGATATATTGGAGATGGCGAGACTCGGCGTGGGTAGTGCAGAAATACACGATATGTCGAGCAAAGTCAGATTGCCTCTGCTGCGCACATACGATGCCAGCACCTTCCGAGCACACGCAGTGCCATTCGACAGCAGACCTGACTGAACTACACCGTGCGTGCTCTTTGAAGCCACGAGAAGTGCTTTGTTATCGGTCTGGAACTCGTGGAAAAGTGCTGTGGAATACTTGGGCGCCGAGAGCGCATCCAGCCCTCCGCTCAGCAACAGTAGACTGGTTCCAGATGGAAAGGCAGTCACAGTGGTGTTTGCCGTGTATGATAGCGTGGACTCGACAGGTGAAGAATTCGACCCTGATACTGTGGTGTTGCCGCAAGCTTCGGAGGTGTCGCCTGTGAACAAACAGTAGGCGTCTAGCTGAGTGTACACTCGACCAGAGCTGATTGAAGTATCGGTGAAGCGCTCCAACAGCTCGGTGTGGTCGGGGGATGGTACTTCCCACAGCTCGCTGAAGGCCTGGACTACAAACAGCAGTTCCGGGTTGTCGGTGTCAGTATCAGTTACGAATGTGGAGTTAACAAACTGCGAAAGCAGCGTGAGGTCTTCGGAACCGCATCGGTGAAAGCGGTAAGCAATAACTGGGATGAATGGCCACAAGGTGGAGTCCTTCATCATTACTCCAAGTAGTTGGCGAAGTGTGTACGACGGCGGCGTCGTTGTGGCTGTAGCGAACTTGCTGTTCTTGCTTGTATTAACATCCGTAAGGATCATGGAGCACGCGGATGCAGTGTCAGCATCAAGGCGAGTGTACACTTCTGCAAGTGTCTGGTTCAGAGTCGTGCTCGAGCTCGCTTCGGAGAACCTTTTGGAGCAATCCGCATCACCTTGGCACCATATCAAGAAATCGATGGCCACCTCTCCGAAGTCTTCGTCACTTTTGGAAACATGGTGTGAGACCGTCTCAATTCCGGGTATAAGATACTTTGCGTTTCCAAGTGCACCGTCAAACACGTAGCCGATAATCTGTGAAACGCCCTGTTGCATGAGTTGCTGGGCTACAAGTGTGCCATAGCCTAATGCATACACGATAGCCTGCGAATCTGACTGGAATTGGTTGATGACCCTTTCGATATCCTGGGCGGCACTGGCCAGGGAAAATGCCCTGAGGTTGGTGTATCCTAATTCATTCAGTCGATATACACATGCCTGGACGTCGCTTGGATCAAGAGCTTTACCGTGTCTAGCAAAAATGGCGGTTTGAAGCGGTGAGCCGTCCGATGCATTGCACGAGAGAGCTGAGCTATCACCACTGCCTCGAAAGTCAAGCGTGTAGATGTCCATGTCGCCGCGTAGCTCTTCGTACAAGAGCGTCATTTGCAGCTCTACTTCTTCAGGAGTCTGGAAATCAGGTCGATCGGGAAGATACCATACAGTTTGTAGACTTGCACCCATGTCATTAGTTCCGAACGCTGGTATCCGCTTAAATGACACGGCAATTGTAGTGTTCTCATCTTCGGCTTTGCAGACACCTTCGTAGCACAGTGGAAGCGTTACGGTTGCACACTGCGCCGACAGGTTATAAGCGTTGGCGACAGCGTTGTCCAGGGAACAGGGGCTCCATAGCAAAGCCGGTGGAGCTGGTCCATTGGGCAAATCTGATGAGTCAGCATTGCTGTGCGCATTCGCGAGGTCTTGCACGAGCAGCACCACCAGAGCGATGAGCAACGCCGTAGGAGGGACCAACGGTGAGTATCGGCGCAAGACGCTACGGGTGCGACCGGGCCATGGCATCGGCTCCGTCTGGGCTTGTTGCTCTCGTCGCCTCCAGTTCGCGAGTTCCTCGGACGAAACGGACAGTTCAATCACCTGGTCCGTTGTCCTTGGTGGGGCCGCACTCGATGGCTGGGGAAGTAGAACGTGGCTGTTTGCAGAGCTTGAGTCACTCTTGTGCTCGCTGGACGAGATCGATGAAGGTAACGAGGAGCTACCAGCACTGGAGCCACAAGGCATGGCATAGGCCTCGGGGATTCTCGTGCAGGGGGGCAGGTTGACAATTGAGTTGAGGGCCAGTGGCAACCGGACGGGGTCAATCAGATGTGCAGTGTCGGCATAGAGGAAAGCAGGTGGAGACACGTTTCTGCTACAAATGGCCGGGAGCTGCTCGATTTCGCCGACAGCAACGTTCAGCGAGGTCTTGTTGAGGAGCTACAGCCATGTCAACTTGGCAGTCAAGTACATGAAGGGCACAACTCGGCTCGTCCAGGAAACCATTGAATCTGAACTGTCGCCAGTGGTGATTTGTGTGTGTTCCTGCCCCGCTTCCTCGCCGTGAACGTGTCGCAGTCTATAATTTAACCAGACGTTCCAATTGAATTGGTGGTGTTTATCAACGCAGCAATCAGCTCCGTAGTGCCCGCAATTTGAAAGATCCGAGGGCGGAATAGCTCAGTATCCACATTGAATTGGATGGCTTAACTGAACACTATGGGCATTTTGCTGTAGACAACTAGCACAAAAGTTTAACGCTGGTGCTGGCCGCGTGCTGGCGGCCTGTGTCACCGTACCCACCGTATGGACACTTTTCTCAAACGTCTGGTGAAAGCCTTCGCACCGAAGCCCGCGACCACAAGTGCTGTACAAGTCGATGTTTACCCACCTGCACCGCTGAACCGAGACAATCCGCGTATTACAAGTAGCATATCTCCAGTGTTTATACAGGAAAGAGGTCGGACCGAGCATGCTTATATTCGTGGCTTGACGCTTCGTATTTCGTTGTTAGATCTGATGGCCGTTCCGTCCCCAATTAGCTATCAATTCTCGCTTCGGCTGCCGAAAAGTCATGGTCACTCCAAACGATTGGCTTCGGCGAAAGGGTATGGCCACGAACAGCGTTGTAGTTGTGGAATCGACACCCAAGCCATTGCGAAGTGTATTAATAGGCTGATGCAGTTTGGAATCCGCAACTGAAACCCAACAGCAATAATAACCTTACCGATAACGGAGACACATCCGTAGCGGCACATCTAGCTGCTATCATTATTTACGTGTTCACCGCATCTGCATGCAAGTTGTACTGTACCTGCATCTCTCGGTCAGATCGAGCGTTTCAGGAGATCAATTTGCATGGAGCGCGTGTCGCCGCAAATTTGCCAGTCGTCGTTGGTTTGAAGCCATATCGTGAGAGGAAAGGCTCGCTCTGCACAATCTATGAACGTGGCCCAAAACGGCATACGAACGACGCAGCGCGATCTGATGCAACGCCTGGCGCCGCTCTTTGCGGCATTGTCTGCCTCTCAAGCTTCTTATGATAGGCGAGCAGGATTTCCTTAGTACATCGCTGTACCGGTACTTGCAACGAGCTGAGATTTCAAGATGAAATCTTGAAATATGGCATAGCCAGTGCACAAAAGATTTTTGGAGCGACACGGGCCAATCAGCGTACGTGAGCTCACGCGAAGGGTCGCACTTCCAGCTCTAAAACCGCGACAAAAGATTTCTTCGATATTTTAGCCTGGTTTTCTCGTGCGCTACTGATGGACGTCTGCCATCGCTACGCGCAAGATAAGATCTTGACGTCAAGTCCACGCACTGCTTCGACAAATGGCAGCCGAAATGGAGCAGCACCGCGCACCTGAACTGGCCGTGGCTGAGCCAGAGAGCAGCCCGCGCATGGCGCTTTCGGTGGCGCCGTCCATGATGAAGGCCGCCGCGTGCGCTATGGACGAGACAAAGCCCGTCTTGCCCACGGATGTCTCCAAGTCCGGCCTGACGTGGCCCGACTCGAGTCTCCAGCCACTCCGAACAAAACCTACAACGCCCGGAGGCTCACGTCTCAAGGTGGAGACGTCACCGCCCGTCGTCCAGGCAAGCGGCACATCGCTCGACGAATCCGGACTGCCGAAGCCCAGTGACGGTCTCCCTGCGCCCAACATGAGCTGTGACTCTGTGTCACCTGTCTCCCCCACCGTCATGAAAGATCTACAGTTCGACTCGAGATTCATTTCCGACGCCTGGTCCTACGAAGCCCCACAAAATATGTACGCGCTGTTGACACAGCCTACGAGCCAGATGGATCCTTTGGCGAGCGGAACGGGTCTTGTGACGCCCTACATGCAGCTACAAGCTCAGCAGCACCATCTCCAAATGCAGCAACAGCAATTAGAGCAACAACTCGAGCATGGCCTCCCGCTTCAGATGTCCCCCATCCACGGTTCTGGCCTGTCGTCGCTGTACATGTCTGGGGGCCCAATGGCAATCAGTCCTCATCAGATGTCGATGCAATCTCCAAACGCCTCTGGGATGAATTCTGCGTATCCTCCGACACCCACCGCTGTGACCCTCAGTGACATCTTGATCTCGGGTGACCCGAGCCTGTTTCTGGCTCCAAGTGGTAGCCCAACTAACATGGCCAAGCAGCAAATGATGCCACCCATGCCACACGCTGGAGGTGTCATCAACGTGAAAGACTTAACACTTAACGAGTTACGCCCTCATTTCAACAAGCCGATGGCAGTAGTGGCCAAGGAGCTGGGCGTGTGTATCACACTGATGAAGAAGATCTGTCGTCGCAATGGACTTGTCCGGTGGCCACACAGACGTATTCGCAGTCTTGTCAATCGCATCACATCGCTACAAGTTCTGGCGACCAACGCTGCAGGTGCAGAGCGGAAGCGCTTCCAAGGGCAGATTGCCGGTCTACGCGAGGAGCTATCAGCTGTAATCCAGAACCCGAACGAGAAGAGCCGCAAGGCACAAACCGACGCCAAGATTCCCAGCAAGGTAGAGATGATTACTGTCACAGAGGCCAAGAACGAGTTCCCAATTGCCCAAATCACGGACGAGATGGTGGGACCAGCCGAGATACCGGTTGACGACGAGAGTAACGGCAACATCAATGTGCAAGCTGACACTGGCGCTGGTAAAAAGAGTAAAAAGAAGAAATCTTCCAAGCCAAAGACAGAAACGACGGGTGTTGTCGGAGTAAAGCGCGACGCGGTTGTTGCGCTGGCGGATGCGGGCGAGATCTCACGCACGAAGAAGCGCAGACCGTCCTTTGGTCTGCATGCGCATCAGCCGCCGCCCATCAAGATCCCCCGACACGACGAGCTGCCTTCCATGAGCCGCTTGCGTAGTCAAAGTGTGCCAGAGAGACGGCTTCGCGGAGATCGACGGCACGGACGCGGACGGGATAAAGGCACGGGCTCCAGCTCCGCATCCTTGCGGCCCTCCACCACGACCCACCGAAACGGTAGACGCGGCTCCATCTCGTCCATCTTAAACGACATTCCTGAGTGAGCAGGCGCCTGAGGCCCTAACCAACCAGCGCCTCTGTCTCTGTTGCTCCACTTACACGTCGAGCCTGCAAAGATCATAGGAGCTAGTACCTGTAAACAGACGAAGATACGCGCATACCCAAGAGTGCAGGCCAGCAGTTTATGAATAAATACCCACCATACATGCATCCCAAGCGAGTGAACGTGTATGATGAAGTGGCAAATGCAAGAAGAAGAAAAGTGGAGGCATGTCAAGTTTGCCCTATATACCAGAAGTCATGGCAGCCTGACCGACATGCCCAGCCTCAGTATTCACGCGAGATAATCTCGCCGCAAGCGCGAGAGGGAAGGACATACCTGCACTGAAGGTAACTTGGTTTAGTACGTCGCACAGAAATCACGTCAATTGGAAATGAGCCACACCAAGGCTGGTTACTTTAAAACGCCTTGAAAGTGAAAGTGAACCGTTTTTGATCAACGTTATGATTTTCTTGGTCGCATCCTTTGGCCTTTGCGAAACGTGTATTTCGTAGTCACTTGTAGTGACTCACTACGTCGCAACGGGTGTCACGTACCTGTACTCGGCAGGGGGCACCATCAACGATGACTTAGATTTCGTTGAGCCAAATGATTTCCAGAGTGTCTCCAAACACGTTTGGCGAACACTGCACCCTCTCGACGTATCGACGTGTTGCTGGATATTTGAGCATTGCTTGCCGTCGCCACAGCGGCTACTAGCCGCTGTGGCGTCCATTAGGTATATGCCCTCTTGTAAACTTCGAAGTATTAATAATAAAGGAATTATTATTCGGATGCCCGGGGGTGGAATGTGCCCCAATGGAGTAAAGTTGGGATCGAGTCTACGCCGTTGTTGTGATACATGTACAGTATCCATAGCACTACGTTTTGAACCCTACGATGCCACCAGAGACCGTTGCCTTATTTTTCATCTTGCCTGCGTCAAGTGGTTGACTGATCGGACAATTGTGTTCGCAAGAAAGTCAGATCTCACATCCAAGGGGGCAAGTTGCCGCGAAGTCCATAAATTGCACGACGCCAACTATTAATACGTTGCTACGAGGACCAGGTTGTCGACTTTACACATCTCTTGAAGCAAATAAAATCAATTATGGACTAATATAAACTTTCATATGGATTTAAGGTCTTCCTTTCATCAAATTCTAACGGCTTGGTGCTTGGATTATCCCTTATTTAATATTACAGGTGTGGTACTCCCCGGCTAGATTCTGAAAGGGCTGGTTCGTGCAGGCTTCACTTTCAATTCGGTCGAGCCTTTGATTTCGCTCATTGCCAAGGCAGAGGTATGCATCTTCCGCTCGTGCTAGGCCTCGCGGCGCTGAGCATGCAGCTTGCCGTTGCGCTGGACGTGAGCGTATGCGGTGATGCCACCTATGCGCTATCAGAGGCCCGGGGAGCTCTATGCTCGGGCGCGGGTGCAGCTCCTGCAGGCACTGCTTGCCCACTGCGAGGCGACGTGGCTGTGGCAGACTGTCACAATTCTCTCGCGTCCTATCTGGACGGGTCCTGCGTCGCGCCCGAAAACGCCGAGTGCCGTATCATCACAGGATCGACTTGGGGCTGCGTATTGCCGTCCGTAGGCTGCGGGGATAAAAGCAATGAACCAGAAGCCACACCAGCAGCGACAGTGCCAACGGAGGAGGATGGAAGCTGTCCGACATGGAATTTCGATGGAGTGGATGACGTGGTGGAAAGCATCGACACAAGTTCAGCCTTCGATGGCAACGAGGACTACGACGAGAGCTGGTTTTCGCAGACCACGACGGTGACGGAGCTCTACGACTGCGGTGAAGTACCGACGACGTCTCCGTCGACAGAGACACCAGTTACTGAGCTTCCGACAACGGAGAACCCTGTGCCCGAGCCTCCAGTAACTACTCCAACTCCAGTCACGACGTCGCGCACAACTCAAGAGCCGGAGACTCCAGCGGCGACGTCGCCTATTACCCTGCAGCCTAGTACGGAAGCACCAGCCACGACGTCGCCCGCTACTCTACAGCCAAGATCAGAACCGCCATCGATAATGCCCCCCACTACTCCAGAGCCAACGACGGAAACCCCGGTGACAGCTGAGCCGACAACGCCAGAGCCTGCTACAGAAACTCCGGTAACAGCTCCACCTGCTACTTCGGAGCCTAGTACGGAATCCCCGTCGACGACGTCGCCAACTACCAGGGTGCCACGCACCGAGACTCCAGCGTCGACTTCTCCAATTACGACAGACACAGCGACGGCAGAGCCTACAACAGAGACCCCAGCCACGACTTCGCCAACTACTCCAGAGCCAAACACGGCAACCCCAGTGACAACAGAGCCTGGACCGCTAACAGAAATTCCAGTCACCCCAGCACCTATAACGCCTGAGCCCACCGCGGCCACAAAGACGGATAAGCCTTCCACGCCAGGCCCGACCACGGATGAACCAACGCCGACACCGACGACGGAGGAGCCTTACACGCCAGGCCCGACCACGGATGAACCAACGCCGACACCGACGACGGAGGAGCCTTACACGCCAGGCCCGACCACGGATGAACCAACGCCGGAGGAGCCTTACACGCCAGGCCCGAGCACGGATGAACCAACGCCGGCACCGACGACGGAGGAGCCTTACACGCCAGGCCCGACCACGGATGAACCAACGCCGGCACCGACGACGGAGGAGCCTTACACGCCAGGCCCGACCTCGGATGAACCAACGCCGACACCGACGACGGAGGAGCCTTACACGCCAGGCCCGACCACGGATGAACCAACGCCGGCAGCAGCCACGGAGGAGCCTTATACGCCAGGCCCGACCACGGATGAACCAACGCCGGCACCGACGACGGAGGAGCCTTTCACGCCAGGCCCGACCACGGATGAACCAACGCCGGCACCGACGACGGAGAAGCCTTACACGCCAGGCCCGACCACGGATGAACCAACGCCGGCACCGACGACGGAGGAGCCTTACACGCCAGCTCCTACAACTGCTGGGCTCACCCCGGCACCGACGACTACGGTAGAGCCGACTCCAACTCCAACAAGTTCGACTCCTTGCCCTTCTACGCAGATGCCAACAAAGCCTCCGTACAATCAGGGTAACCAAGGACAATACCAGCAGCCTCAGCAGCCTCAGCAGCCCCCATACAACCAGGGTAACCACGGACAATACCAGCAATCTGAGCAGACTGCGGAGTCCACCACTGCCACTGAGGATGCTGAGACGGTGTCGCTAGCAACAGCAGACAACGCCGACTTTACCAGCAGTGGCAACTCGGGAGAGTTGTGGGTTGTAGTCGTTGGGTGCCTAGCTGCAGCTGCAGCTGTTGCTGGTGTGGCTCTTTACGCAAGAAAGAGACATCAACGCAAGAACAGGGACCTGAGTTCAGCCAACGAGTACGGCATGCACTCGATCGTGACACCTCAGTGGTCGAGGACGGATTAACCAGTTTGTAGCTACTGCCACTAAAAAATATTAGCCGCGCCGAATGCAAGGCAGCACCCAAACTAGACAGTTACTACAGTGTTAGAATGTATCCATCGCAAGTTGAAGTAGGGTACCGGTTCTCACTGTTCGAAACCGGTTCGACCCTGAGTAACTTTGTATCCAAAAGTCGAATCTCAACTTCGCCAGCGTCTCCTGCAGTCTGCAGAGCCTTCCAGCTGCTATGAAGCCCCACATCCTGTCGCCCTGGATCCATTTGTTGCTACTGCTATCGGTCGTGCTCCAGTTTGGTGGCGCTGTCTCTGCAGCGGATACCAGAGAATCAAGAAAAGTGGATAATGCACTTCCGACGCAGTGGGCGCGAGGTCCCCGCGCAGCCCCAGAGCTGCATCTGACGCTACGTGTGGCTCTCAATCCTCATAAGAATGATGGTCAATTGGGAGATCTTGTTGCAGCGGTGACAGACCCCGCGTCGCCTCTCTATGGACAGCACTTGACGAGCTCCGAGCAGCTCCAACAGCACTTTAAACCGTCGGAAGCCGCTCTCAAGAGCTTCGTACAGGTGTTCCAAGACGCCCCAACGGTTCAAGCTGAGCCTATCGACACTATCCAGGATTTCTGGCACGTCAAGCTCTCTGCAGCCACGGCCGAGCAGCTTTTCAGCACCAAAATGTTCCACTACACACACCGCCAACACTCCGAGCTGTCGGTGGTGCGTCCTGAAGAGAGCTACAGTATCCCGCAAGAGCTAGAGGGCGTTGTGGCCTATATCGACGGACTGGAGAGTTTCCCCACTGAGATGCAGGCCATGTTCATGCACGGAGGAGTCACCGACGACAAGGACCCGTTTGCAGCCAAGCAGCAGCCGTTCACAGACAATTTCCGCGTCAACTCGAGAGGGGCGACGCCCGCAGTGATCCGAGAGCAGTACGACATCCCAGAGAAGATCGAAGCTAACGATTCCAGTGGCGTAGCTGAAGAAAGCTCGCGAGCCGATCGAGTCGACCGCAAGAAGCTCGTGGTGGGCACATTCCTCCATGAATTCTACAGTGAAGAGGATCTGCGCCAGTTCCTGCACACAATTGACGGGCAACAGCATGCGATCAAGTTGCCAAAATTTAGTGGACAATGCGTCTCCTCGTACGGCCCGACGGGCGAAGCGTCTCTAGACGTCCAAGTGACTGCGTCTCTGACCGGCCATGGGACTGGAGACGCCTCGAATATCGAGATGATGTGCTACACTCAACTCCGAGACGCGACCCGCGACTACGCGGCTGACAACCAGGAGCCTTTTCTTACGTTTTTACAGGACGTGAACGCCATGCAGCCTCCCCCTGCCGTCGTGTCCATCAGCTACACAGACGACGAGTGTAGCGTGCCGGTAGCGTACGCAGAAGCTGTCAACCGGGAGCTCATGAAGGCTGCTCTTCGTGGCATCTCCATCCTGGTTTCCGCTGGCGACGCTGGTGTACGAGGCAGCCATCTCGCAGAAGGTTTCTGCCGTGTACCAGCTTGTTCCAAGTTCATGTCCATGTTCCCGGCCTCGTCTCCTTACGTCACAGCCGTCGGAGCTACAACCATCGCCACCGGGTCTGCTAGAGACGAGAACGGCAAGTGGAAAGAGGCGGTGACGTCCACAGCTGAAGCGCGTGCACTCATCACGTCGGGCGGCGGCTTCAGCGATCTCTACGATATGCCAGAGTACCAACGCAAAGCTGTGTCGCCCTATTTGACCTTCGCTAGCTCTTCAGGCCTCTCTCCGTTCTTTCGAACTACTGGAAGGGCGTTGCCTGATGTGGCAGCTGTGGGTCACGCCTTCCCTGTCGTCGTCAACGGCGAAGTAGGCGCGACGGACGGCACTTCCGTGTCTGCGCCCGTACTGGCGTCTATGGTAACGCTACTTAACCGCGCCCTCCCCGAACTACCGCCTCTTGGATTCTTGAATCCTCTACTCTACCGCTTGTACGACGTGTGTCCGCAAGTGTTCGCTGACATCACACAAGGCGACATCGCGTGTGGCGCCAAAGGGATGAAATGCTGCAAGAAAGGCCACGTGGCTACCACTGGATGGGACGCAGCTTCGGGTCTTGGGACGCTGCGCTTCGCCACGTTGTTGAGCGACCTCCCTGGGTGTTTGGCTCGCATGAATTCTTCAAACGACTTTGCGATGACCGAGCTGCTTTCTGCCCTGATGTTGAACGTCGAAGCACCCGAAGAAGACGCGGAGATTCACGTGAAGAGCTGGACTCGTGGAGAGCAACGAGCCACTCAATTGCTAGGTGCTGTCAGCTTAGTCGCTGCTGTCGGTCTCATCTGCGTGCTAGTAGCTCTGCGTGAGCGAGTCTTTGAGGACTTGGGCGACCACAGAGCAGGCTCCAGGCGCTACGGATCCTGCGCCGCGCACGACTCAGCCCGCGAGCTCTTGCTTTCCCACTAATCAGAACTAAAGCTATTACAGTAGTGTTATTATCAGTCAGACAAACTGAGCACCGGTAGTAGCCGTGAGCTCAATTGCCGTGCTCGCTCCCTTCGATGGCTTCTTCGATTTCCTCTTCTTCGTCGTGCTGCTTCGCCTTGAGCTGTTTAGCGTCGTGTTGCTCCTCGTGACGCGAATCTTTTGCTTCGGATGCATCCTCGTTCACGAAACGAAGTTGCTCCAGCCACGTAGCACAGCGTCGAACCGAACGTTCAGTACTCGTCGCGTTATGGAGCTGAAGCCATGACGAGTCGAGAAGTTCTTCGACCGACGCACGCTCGGAAGGCTGGCAAATAGAAAATGGGTTAATAAGGAATGAAGGAAATAGGTGCGAGATCTACATGTTCGCACCTCTTTCTTCAGACATCGACCGATGAAGTCGTGAAACTCACGAGTGAATAACTCGCCGTTAGCGTCAACCTCCGGCAAACTAGGTTCAGGACTTTCAACAATACTCTGGACCACGTCGATGTAGCTCCGGGCGTTAGCGTATGGGAATGTTTGTGTCGCGCACTCGATGAGTACGAGACCGAGACTCCAAATGTCCGACTTGTAGCTGAAAACCCAAGAGATGACGTTAGTCTACTGTACCATTACTCAGTACAGCAAAGAACCTTTACCACTTACTCGTAGGGTTCGTTTTGCACACGTTCCGGCGCCATGTACTTAAAAGTTCCCACAAAAGTTTGAGCCATACTGGTGGACGAACTCAGCTCACGGGCGAGTCCAAAATCCGTGAGTTTCACAGCTCCGTCCTGTTGCACGAGGATATTCTGAGGCTTGATATCGCGATGAACATGGCGAACCCTTTTGAGATGGGCGAGTCCCGTCAGTATCTGCATTGCGATGGCTGCAATTACTCGCTCAGGTACAACGTCGTCATCTCGAGGCAACCGCGCCAGTAGTTGATCTAGTGACCCCAAGGCACAGAACTCCAGCACGATACTAAGCGCGTGGTCCTGGAAGTATGCGCCGTAAAACCCCACAAGATGGTCACTCTCGATGCCATACAGCGTACGGATCTCGGTCAGCAATTGGTCGCGTCTCGGCTTGTCGAACACGTTAGTCACCACTTTGACAGCATAGAGAACGTTCGATTCGCTGTGTCGCGCTTTGAAAACTTGTCCAGAACTGCCCCTTCCAATCATACCGACGGTCTCCAGTTTGTCCAGCGCCACGAGCTTCCGTGTCTCCACAACGCACTCGTCAACTTCATCGTCATCCTCTTTGTGTCCTGGTTTGCCGTCCGCAAATGTGACACCTGAACTGTTGATCCTAAGACCGGCTTTGTACAGAGTCGTCTCCCCGATGTCACACGAAGCTTCGAACTTGTCGTCGTAGTCGTCTCCTCTGTCCGGTGCCACGACACTCAGTGTTGGCCTAGCCTTCATGGTGTTAAGAACGATAGAGAGGGGGGGGGGCAAAGTCTGAAATTATTCGTGCAATGACCTGTCGTCTATGAAACGTGCGCAAGGATAAAACTCGAAGGCTAAGAGTATTTCGTCCTGGTTCTCAAAAATAAAGCGCAACTCGCAACTGACTACGTTCTCTACAGTCTTATCGCCGGTTCATGCAGCTCTCGTACGTAGGAATCATGTACTTGATGTTGACGAAGGCGTCTGCACCTCCGTGTTTCTCGAGAATACTGAGAGTCTCGAGGATGAGGTCACCCAAGTTCTCCTGTCGTCGCTGAGCGTAGTCGATCGAGTCGCCGCAGTTGACTCGCTTGGTGATGAAGAGGTTGAAGATCGACAGAAGCTGTCGATAGTACGGTACTAGCGCTTCCCCGGTGTACGGACAGCTAAGCACAAGTCGTTGCAGCACCTTCATCTGAAGGCACAGCACGGTCTGGTTGCGTGTCATGAGGTTCGCCTTCATCGGTGGGATCAGCTGCGGTAAGCATGGCAACACTCGACTCCCACCTTTCTCCAGCATGTCCAAAGTGCCGTTGAGTGCCAAGAAGTGGTACGGCTCCTCTAGTTCTCGAAGTCCCTCCATAAACACCGGTAAATAGTGCGAGAAGTCGAGAAGGGACAGATCGACCTGCCATTGCAGCTTCCGCACAGCTCCGGCAAAGTTTACTCGGACCGGGAGGTCGCCACGGTTGTCTGTAGACAAGTCAAAAGTTAGCCTTGATGTTGGAAACCAAAGTCGCTATCTAACGGCACGTACAGAAGTAGCGAAAGCGAGTAGGCTCCACTTTTCGAGCCTTGAAAGCACCTGCTGTATGAGGTCGTACAATGGGCGCTAGTGGGCCTGGTCGAGAGCAGATCGCAAGCGCTGTGTGGCTCGATGACGCTGTGAGCTCCCCGGACTTGGCAATTTTCGCCATTTGCCGCACGTGATGCACAGAAGGCTGCTGGGTATTCCGGTTAAGCTTGGCTGACTGGATATTCCTTGCGTTCACCCTCGAAATGGGCATAAAAGTGCTTCCGCCGCTGGGCTGCAGCATCCTGAGCTCCGACGCAAGCGCAGACACCGAGCTACTAGCACTCATCGCCATGGTTGCAGTCGTTTATATTCTGGGTCTTCAACTAAATGAAGAAATGCCCCCAGAAGCTGATCTTGCTAAATTAGCCATGCATGCCTCGGTTCTTATCAGTTGTCTCAATCATTCGAGCTAAAAATGTGATGAACGCTGATTTTATGCGCAGAGGTTCCGAAAATGTTATTTTTATTGAGACTGGCACAACAGCAATAAAAATAATTTTAAGTGCTTGGAGCACCACGGGTGCAAAAATTATTGGTGTTATTGCATGCAATATACAGTAAGCTGATACTCGTCTACATGTAGTTGGTGGGAGCCTCACCACGCACACCTTGCGGACTGTGGCAGCGTTCCAGTAGGCTCAGTTCAGCGACCAACCATCAAAATGAGAGGACAAGAGCGCGGCAGATCGATCGTAGATTGCGGTTTAGCTGGACCGCTGGTCCGTAGGGCTCCATCAGCCCGGTTAAAGGTTTTTGCCTCGAGAGACCGCAGAATAAATTATTTGATTTTGAAATGGGAGCTCGAAAATAAATTATTTTACTGCAAAATAAAAAATATATTTAATAAAAATAACATTTTCGGAACCCCTGTTTATGCGGCGGTATTTTGGTGACGAGAAAGGATTAGGCAAAGCTTACTGTCAACGTCGCTGGTTGAATTGCCAGGGCCTTGTCGCTCTAAGCGGGTCATGACAAAATACTGCCAAGCAGCATGCGAAGAATGCAAGCGACGCATGTGGATTCTCTACAGCAGTACTATTACTGTAGTTAATAATCGCAAACCTTAGGGAACCCCAAAAAAATATGCATAAAAATTAATCCTAATTTTTAATTTAATTATTATCTTTTACTCATCAAATCATTTTTAGATCTAGTACAATTCATTCATGAATTGCCAAGGTGCGGGCCAACAAAGTCCACAGGGTCGCTTGCTTTCCGCCATTTACAATACAGGCTGCCGGCCACGTCCAAATCAACAAGACATCCATTCAGAACTCAACCTACAGTCTTCTGGACACCCCTCTACCGCTACAGTGCCTTCTCTGTCCATCATGGTCCTAGCGAGCATTAATTTTTTTTTGCTCTATGCTCTTCACTGAGGTCGGTGACGGCTTCTACAACTGCACGACCTGCGGCAAGCAGTACAAGAAGGGCAGCGGCTACACGAATCTACTGAACCACCTACGACGCAGCCACGAGGACTATGAGCAAGAAGCATAAGAAGCTGCGCGCCGCCAGAATTCCCTAAACCTTCGACTAGTCAGCCAGCGTACGCGGGATCTGTACCGCTGACTCGAATAATTGATTTGTGAGCTGTGCCCGTTTGCACTTGTGAAGCGAAGGCTAGCCCTACTAAATGTGGCACTTTATACCGTGTCAGATAACACGCTGCTGCTCTATATAGTATTGGTGTTCGAGGTAGTTGAGGGCCGTGTAGTCAGTGAGCTACCCGAATCATTTGGTCTCGTATTGGACAGCTGAACAAGCAGCAACCGTCGCTTTGTACTGTTAGCTTTCTTGTCCGTAGAGACGGAGGAAGATCTTAGCGCTCAGAGCCAGTACGACCTAATCGCTGACACGCTGTCGCGGTACAACAAGCCCTGGAGCGCAGTTAAGTTCATGGTCGGCGATAACTGCTCCGTTAACCAGTACATTGGCCGGAAGGAGGGTGCTATACCGCTAATCGGATGCGCTAGCCACCGCTTGAATCTAGCGATCAAGGACTTTCTCAAGAACGAAGACGAGTTAATAACCAAGGTCTATACCTTGATGTCCAAGTTGCATACGATCAAAGATGGAGCCATTCTTCGCCGCGTCTCCCATCTGTCATCTCTGCTGAGGAATGACACCAGATGGTCGAGCACGCACGAGATGGTAGAGCGCTACGCCAGACTCCAGCCGGCAATTGTTCAGCTGGGCCTCGATGTCCTCGTGGAGCATGATGTGCAACCTTTCCTACTACGGCGTGCGGAGCACGAGCCCGTCAAGGCGCTTCCTAAAGATTTAGCAGCTTTCGAGGCCGTTACCAAGAAGCTACAGAAGTCTACGCTAAATTTGTCCGCTTCGCGCCGTCTTTTGATCAGATTGTAAAGGAGTACCTAGCCTTAAAGCCTCGGCTGTCAATAAAGGCATCTATAGTGAACAAACCCAATTTAGGGCAAGGTCTAGTTAAGCTACAGTGGGGAGACACTAAACGTCGCGGAAAAATTAGCCTGCGCTGAATTTAGGTCGCCTGATCTCGAACGGTCGTCTTCAAGAGCCGCCTAGAAGTGTTATATTGTGAGAACAGCGTTTAAGAAACGCAAGGTCGTGAAGCGCGCGCACTACGTTGACGTCGCGTACATCCCGCCAATGTCTAGCGAGTGCGAGCGCTTCTTCTCACTTGCTAAGCTGGTGCTGTCTGATCTACGCAAGCGAATGTCTCCAGCCGGGCTTGAGATGATAATGTTTCTGAACTACAATCGCGACTTGTGGGACCTGAGTGCGGTGGACAAGGTACGCTCGAGTATACCGGAATTATGCAAATATTTAAATTATTAATTTGCCCAGCTCACATCGATGTATTAATTTAATTATTGCCTTTTCGGGTTCCCTGCAATGGCTACATGTACCTTTTAATAGGCTAGCATTGTGTATCTAGATAGCCAGTGGGGAAACTATTGGGTGGGCGGTTGTCTGCCCCCATGGTGACGGAGATGGAGAAGTCGCTGCGATGGTCGGCCTGCAGCACCATTGCGACACTGTGGGCGAGCTTCGCTGCATGTTCGTCAAAGAAGCACTTTGACGTGTCGGATGATTCGGAAATACTTAAGTACGTACTTCACGCAAAGATCTCGATTTCGTTTTTTTCTGATTCGGTCAGTTTTGATACCGTAATCATGTGAAGCTTACTTCATTATTAATTATTACATGTAGTTAGGTATAAACTATTACTTAAAACTTACTTAAGTAAATAAAATTTTAGGACTTCGAAGAACAGTTCATGTACAGTAGAATGCGTAATGATGGACACGATGTCCATTATTCAGTTTACCTGAAACAGGTATGGCGACCGGCCAGCAAACCGAAGTCTGCGTCCGCCAGTATTTGCCAACGGACCAAGAGGGCTTGAACGCCGTCTTCGTCGATGGCTGCGAGTCCTACCGCGACAGCTTTCGGTCCCTCGTTCAAGATCGCTGGACAAATTTCATCCAGGAAGGTCTCGACGGAGACCTATCGCGCATTCCCAGCACCTACATTGCTCCGGGCGGTAATTTCTGGGTCGTAACGACGATGGAGAACAGCGAATAGAAGATTGTAGGACTGGAGAAAAAGGGAGGCGGTACGGCGCATGGCTGTCTCGAGCGCTTTCCGTCGCCACGGCCTCGGCAAGCGGCTAGTAAACGAGCTTGAGACCTGGGCCAAGAATCACGGCTTCACCAAGATCATCCTCATGAACGGTGGGCCCAAGGAAGACGCGCGTGCCTTCTACCGCGCCATCGGCTACCTAGACAATGGTATGAAGGTGGTGTCCGTTGAGCCGCACGTGGAAGTGTTCCAGCTTGCCAAGCAACTGTGAGCGCTCCTCTTAGCATTTAGTACATGTACAAGTAAATCAACATCTGATGGTACATGTACCGGTACATGTAGAGTCAACATTGTAGACTACATGATGTACACGATGAACCGGTGTTGCAATATCCCGACAGCACCTAACTTGGGTCCCGAGGCAGTTTACCGTATAAAAGACAAAGGTCGTTACAAGTATTACGTGTACCCTGACTGCACTCGAATCTTTGATGCAGCACCAGCGCTATTCTCCCGCAAACAAAACAATTTGCAGACTTGGCACGACCATTCATTTCTCATTTGATCTTCGTCTGCAGACCCCGAAACTGAAACACCAGAACGGTCATGGTCCCCATCACCTCCTCGAAATCGACCCCCGACTCGGCAGAGATCGTAGTCCGCGAGTTCCGCAACGAAGACCTGCTCCAGGTGATTGAACTGTTCAAGGACGGCATGCTCCAGTACTCCAAGAGACAACAGGACCCGCATCTGGACGACTACATCGCCAATAGCCTCAAGACGGACCTCAGCGACATCAAAGGCACGTATTCTACGCCAGGCGGCAACTTCTGGATTGCTACGCCCCGTGATGATCCGACGCTGATCATCGGCATCGTCGGGCTCGAGGCGAAGCCGAATAACGAGGGTGAGCTGCGACGCATGTCAGTTAAGCATACTCATCGTCGATTCGGCATCGGGCGTCTGCTCATTTCAACGCTCGAGCACTGGGCTGTCGAACACGGGTTCCACAAGATCTGGCTCACCACGGGTGGTGTGATGGAAAAGGCACGGGGTTTCTACACCTCGATGGGCTACACGGAGACTGGGACCATTGTGGTTCACGAGCAGCCTCGCTTTGAGGTCATCATGATTGAAAAAATGCTTGTACCGACGATCTCTGCGTGAGCTATAATTGTACATGTACCGGTATGCTCGCACTCATCTAATCAAACACTTCTAATCCTCATCTGATCGTTCAGATTGATGCAGGGGTTTTTGCTGTTGTTCGTGCAAACAAAGCGAACAAAGTCTAGGCAATGCTTGGTTAACCTGCCACACCGGCACGCTCTAAATCAATGACACTTCTATATTCGCCTTCGACTGCACACGTCCCTTGTCTAATTTATATTATCCACAGACCGTCATGGCTCCTACGGTCGCTGCAACGATGGCAATCCCACCAGCACCAGTTCCAGCCAACGATGCGACTAAGATTGTGATTCGTCCGTTCCGTCAGGACGACTTGCAAGTGATTCAATTGTTCAAGGAAGGCATGCTCTGCTATCCCGCCCAACAGGAGAACCCGCGTCTGCTTCAGTTCATCGACGACAGTCTCAAGACGGACCTTAGCGACATTGAAGGCACGTACATCGCTCCTATGGCAATTACTGGGTTGCCACGCCACACAACGAGCCGGCCCTGGTGGTGGGCATGGTAGAAATCGAAGCGAAGCCCAACAATGAAGGCGAACTACGTCGCATGTCGGTCAAGACGAGTCATCGGCGGTATGGTGTCGGCCGTATGCTGCTGTCAACATTAGAAAATTGGGCACTGACGCACAAAAAAGATCTGGCTCACTACGGGAAGTGTGATGCAGAGGGCTAGAGATTTTTTATGTGTCGGCGGGCTTCGTTGAGATCGATGCATACCTCATCCGAGAAGAGCCTCCAGTTTACGAGGTGGTCAAGCTCGAGAAGATGCTGAAAACAACAGACTAAAACAAGCACCATAATTCCACCTCGAGAAACATATTTGCTCTGGTTTATTGGCACGGTATCACACTGTCACTGGAAATGTTCAAACGAAACAAAATTTAAATGATTACATGGATATGACGTACAGTACTCTTTCTTCTCATCCAATTAAGGAGATAGCACCAAGGATTTGTATTACGCCCATCGGCGGAATGACGGCAGTCAAGTTGACGATCTGCGCGGTGATTCTGCTTTGTCATTTCAGTCATTTCTTTTCAATCCCTGTTTATTAATAGCGTGACTATGGTTTCCCGTACGATTACGGAGTGAAAACGTGGAGGAACTTCCTTCAATAGAGCTGAAAACCTTTCCCACCACCGACAAGCCAGCCAGCCACTTTCGAATTGTAGCTCGATCGTTGCCACAAGTAGAAAAAAACTTTGGGCATCCTCGCCAGTGGTCTCGAGATCCGTCAATACCGTGTCGAAGACCTGCCTCAGGTTGTGGGGGTGTTCAAGGCGGGGATGTGGTCGTACGAGGCGTTCCACGCCATGCCCGAGCAATCGGAGGCGTACCTTCAAGAGAGTCTGAACAGCGACTTGAGCGACATCGAAGGCACCTATATCGCTCGAGGTGGCAATTTTTGGGTTGCAACACCGAAGACAGATCCAGCAAAAGTGGTAGGCTTCGTGGGTCTCAGACAACAAGGAAGGAGAGTTGCGACGATTGTCCGTGAAAGACACTCATCGACGTTTTGGTGTTGGGCGGAGCCTCATCGATGCACTCGAGAAATGGGCTCAAGAGAACGGGTTTCGAAAGGTCTGGTTGACGACAGCAGGCGTCATGGACAAGGCTATAGCGTTCTACCCCTCCGTTGGGTTCAAACACACTGCCGTCATCGTGGTCAGTGAAGACCCGTACTTCGAAGTGTACAGGTTTGAGAATCTCCTGAGGAGCTCGGATAAATAAGCGTCGGAAGTCAACTCAGAAAAGTTTCTTCCACTTGACAGTGCTGTAAGAATTATTGTCCATTCTGTCTCCAGTACTTGTATTCATTCTCCAGCAGTGCTTATGGCATAGCAGGCACGCGAAGGGGTGTAGCGACGTTGACGACTCGAGCAGCATCGAGGCTTCGTATGCCTGAAGGTTCTGCTTATTAATAGGTTGTATTAATAACACTTCTGTCGGAGCCGGCGGCGGGCATGTTGGCTTTCGGTGCTCAGGACGCCAGCTACACCGCTGTATCTGAAGGGAGGCTATCGTTGGTCAGCTGCTATTATAATTGGTGCGGTGGATGAAGACTGGGCTCGTGCATACTTGCATATACATGTACTCACAGACAAAGAGCTCCGTCATCAACAATCCGAAATGTCATTTTTTTCCATTTGAGAATATAACGCGAATGAAAAGTGATCCCAGCAGTAGACTTTATTTTTCCCCAGGTAGGAGTAAGCACAGATTTACGACGCGTCACTACATTCATGAAGCGTGGCCAGCTCACATTGTTGATATCCTGGCTCCCAAATATATAACTTACGACTTTGTATCCTATCATTCCTAATCGCTCACCCTATCAGCCATGGCCTTGAGGTTCACAACCATAGCGTAGACGAAGAAGACGATGAAGATGATCCAGATTGCGATGCATGCGAACTTGCTGTAGCCGCCGTATACGCGCAATTGCTGCGCGTCGAGCTTCTGACGTGGAAGGAGAAGCACTGAAAGAAGAGACATTGCGTGCACAGCGTACGCGATGAGCAGCAGCGACAGAAGGCGACCTGTTCCGTCGTCGACGCTCACGGGGGCCACGTCAGCCATCCAGTCGCTACTCAGGGTACGCATGGCGATTGCGATCGTACTACGGAACGACAGTAACATACCCTGAGTAGCACCCTCCGATCCATTCTCAGCGATCTCGGTAGCTGGGATCAATGAGAAAATAGTAATGATACCATCTGTGAAGCCCGTGATGCAGCCGAGCGTGTCGTAGAATGCCTGCGTGCGGACTGAAGGCACGTAGATCATCATGACAGCGCGGAAGGTCTCGGGGATAACCATAACAGCAATACCCAGACACACGCATCTTCGCCAAGACGAGTTGGACCAGAAAACCTTCCACATGATCATAGACGCCATGGTGGTCACGTACTTGAGTGCGTTGGTTATGAGCGTCGTGTTCGGATTGAGTCCCGCCATTCTGATGAAGACGGCGTTGGCTGAGCCAAAGTAGAAGCGCGTGGTCGCCAACAGGATGCACAGGAACAGCACGAGCTGCCACACGGCGCGTTGCTGACACATCCGGAAGAAGGATCCGATACGAGCACTGGCTGTGGACGGAGCCGTGGTGATCATGGCGACGCTGCCTTCTTCCGCGACAATCTCGTTCATGAAGCCTGCTTCGGCTTGAACAGTTCGCTCGGAGCAGTTACGCAGCACAAATGGCACAGGGATGAGGCTGAGTAGAGCCAACATCGCGTATACCCAGAACAGGTCGATTCGCAGCGCGTAGTTGTGCTTGCCGTCGTTGTCGAAGCGAACGAGAATGGCGGTCAACCACAGTCCAATCCACTCGATGCCGGTGCGGAAGAGCAGGTAGTTGATCTGCAGAGTACCTCGTGTAGTGAGTGGCTCGCGTTGGGACAGCTCGATGACACGGGCGTCCGTGGCGATCTTGCTGAGCATGGTACCGAACGTGGTGCCCATGATGAGGACCATGTAGTAGATGATGTAGTTACTGAGCTGGTCTTCCGTCGAGTTATCCACGTCCGCAGTGGCGGAGAGGATCATTAGGCCCATACACGTTAGGAAGCTCAACAGTGTTCCCGTGATCATGTAAGACTTCCGGCGGTAGCCTCCAATCGGCACAACATCTGACAATAGACCGAGGAAGAAGCTGAGTGTCGTGGGGATACTCAGCAAGCACTCGATGACGACAGAGCTCTCGGATCGTTGCAACAGAAGCGAGTGCATCAATGTCGGACGCATACAATATCGTAACACGGCATAAATAATGCTGCTCTGCGCCGTAGCGAACAGCAAACCAAAGTACGAGGCGGAGAAGAGACTGACGCCGCCGCCCTCGCGCAGCGCACCAAACTGTTGATAGTTAAAGAACTTGTTACCCGCCACGAATCGATTGTTGCCCAGCATTGCCGAGGGCTCGAGACTGTCGAAGCTGCTGCGACCGTCAGGACCGTAGGTCATGGTCATGGTCGAGTGGCCATGCTCCATGCCTCCGTAGTTTGACTCCGGCACCGAATTGGTGTAAGCGGAAGTGACGCTGTAGAAGCCGCCGCCATCCTTGCGGTTGGACGGCACGCCCATTTCTAACTGGACCCGTATATCAGCAGGCGAAAAGTAGTCGTTTGCCCGGTGAATTCCAGAGTGAGACCTAACTGAACGAGGTGGTGGCGCTGCGTAAGAGCAGGGTCATGACGAGCCCCTCGGGTGATAGAATTGATCCAGAAACTGCTGAAAATATCTGACTCTATCGTGCTTACCGTACAGTGGGACCAAAGAGTTGAGCAACGTCCCGGCTATGGCGACTCTGAGTCATCTGGAGCCAAGAATTACGGATACGGAGCTGAGCTAATTTGAACAAAGCAAGCGCTCAGTTCTACTTGATCAATGTACTGTAGACACACCAATGAAACATAAGATTATATAAAAATGAGCGTAATGTTCACTTGAACACTGTATGCGGAAGGAGATCACGGTCTCGATTTGCATAGAACAGTGATTCTCTCAAGGAAGTGTCAGCACAGTGGGATTGTAGGGCAAAGCTCCCACTTGCAGCGCACGCGGGGCTCCGAAAACGCAGCCGGTTTCGACGGACACAGTACATTGTACATGTATTGTAGTGTTGCAATTTGTTCTCTCGAAGGATCAAATTTAAAGTGATTTTCCGGATAATGAGCCGTGTCGAACAGCTAATTCTAAATCTTCCAAACAGGTACATTTTTAAAGGGTTCTTTACAAAGATCGCGTTTTAGTCAGACTCCGTTCAGAAACCAGCTCATGAAGTTGTGTTTCGATACATTGACTCTGGCCACCTGAGTGCAATACACGTCGTCAAACCAGAATGGGTGATCTAGCTCCGGCCCCAATGCGATTCAAGAAAACTCCAGCAATCCAAACACGTTAGTTCGCCACCAACTCAGCGTGGAAGAAGCTCTTTTAAAGAGCGCCGATCAGTGCGGTCAACATGACGTTTGCTTGAAGTTAACACTTCAGCTAGATACCGAGGTGTACTGTACATGTATGACACGCAAGGACAAGTATCCTACATGTACATGTACAGTGGGTACAGAAAGTCTACGTCCAAACAGCTGGCGAGATCAAATCCTGAATTTTTGAGTAGTGTATTGATCCAGCCAATCAATGCAGAATATCATCGAATAGCGCAGACTGTAACGAATCAGAAGCTATTTTCACTTTGACGAGACGATATTTGCATCGCAAGTTATGGGGCGTCAAGTCCCTCAGGAGGGAAAAAAAGGGGACAAAAAAGTCAACGTCCAAGCCACTCATTCTGCGTTTTGCCATGACTGGCACAAGGTAAGAGCCCCAAAACGCAGACAGCCTCATTGCTGCAGTACTAACAGCTCCCAATGGATCTAGAGTGGAGCATTCGCGGCAGATCCGCGACCTCTGCGTCGCAAAACGCCACGACGGCCAAACCTATCAGGCTATCGCGGATGAGCTCAAGCTCCGAGTCTCTAGCGTCAAAACCATTGTTTCCAACGCAAAGAAGAACGGCCACACGCACTCCTTACTACGTTCTGGCCGCCCTCGGAAGACGACAGTCCACCAGGACCGCCAGATCGTGAGGGAAGCGAAGAAAAATCGACGCCTTAGCGCTGGAAAGCTGGTCAGTGTGGTCGAAAAGGGCCACGGCATCGCTCTGTCAAAGCAAACAGTGTGAAACCGCATTAAGGATGAAGGATTTAATGGTCGTGCAGCTCGAAAAAAACCTTTTTTGAGCAAGAAAAACATCAAAGCGCGATATGCGTATGCACGTCAGATGTTGAAGTTGAAGGACGACGACTGGAAAAAGGTAGTGTTCAGTGATGAGTCGTCCGTCTGGCTCACTGGGGCTGCGGGGAGGGTTTTTGTTTGGCGTAAGCCTGGGGAGGAGTTCAAGAACGAATGTCTAGCACCTACGTTTAAGTCTGGAAGAGAGACCTTGATGGTTTGGGAATGTATCACCTACGAGGGTGTGGGTGCACTTCACATGTGTGACTCAAATATTACTGGTGCGTACTACAAGAGCATTTTGGAGCAAAATCTGCAAGCGACGGTCTCTGTGCTTGGTGTTGGCAACGACTACAAGTTCGTACCGGATGGTGCTCCTGGCCATCGTGCTCGTCTAGTGAAAGACTACCTGAGAGAAAAAAAGGTGGAGCTTTTACCCCATCCAGCCCAGAGCCCAGATCTCAATCCAATCGAGAATCTCTGGGCTCTAGTCAAGCAAGAACTGTTTAAACGACCTGCGTCAAGTGTGGACGACTTGAAAGAACAAATCCAGGAGATTTGGTACGATATCGAGCCGAAAACCGTTCAAGATCTCTACCACTCCATGCCGAAGCGCCTACTTCAAGTTAAAGACAACCGAGGGGGTCACACGAAGTACTAAAGGTGCGTGAAAGCTTCAGATAGTGTTCGTATGGCTACTACTACAACATGGGATGCAAAAGTGTTTACAGCAGCTCTTAAAAGTTGAGAATAACAAAATAGACTTTCACTTTTTTTGCCATAATTTTACTTCTTTTTTGTTTGAGTGGGCTCAACTTCTACCAGCTTCTGTCAATCTGGTCAAATGATAGTTTGTTGGAAAGCCTTCACGTCAGGCATTCATATCATGCATAGTAACCAATCTAAATACCGTCAGGGACCAAACGCCGTGGGCCAACGTGCTCAAGGAGACGTTGGACGTAGACTTTCTATACCCAAAAAAATAGTTGTACTCGACTATTTTTTATATAAACAGTCGAAGTGCCTGATGTGCTGCGCTTCACCTTTCCACATCAGGGTGTTAGCGCTCCGATTTGACAGATGACCGTCAACACCACTGCAACGCCGGTGCTGTAACCTACCAGGTCGCTTGCAAGCACAGGGACAGCTCACACGGACTTGGACAGCGATGATCTCACGATGATCAAACTGCCGCGTGGCCCGAAGGAAACCACAAATTGAAAGAGACTTGCATCTTTAAACCAATGATTTAAAACCACGACCTGCCAAGGTTAAATTTATACATTTTTTTGAGCTGCAGCCGTGCAGGGACATCATCAGCATAGAAGTGCTACACGTGGATACGTGTTGCGATACTGGCAGGTTGCACTTGGTGGTCTTCAGGTTGCACTCAGTGGTCTTAGCGAGGAGACAACGAGCGTTTGAGCAACAATATTACCTTCTCTACGACAGCAGCTCTATTCCATTGCACCTCACATACACATGGGCAAGAACAGGGATGGATGCAGGGGTTCCGAAAATGTTATTTTTATTAAATATATTTTTTATTTTGCAGTAAAATAATTTATTTTCGAGCTCCCATTTCAAAATCAAATAATTTATTCTGCGCTCTCTCCCGGCAATAACCTTTAACCGGGCTCGATGGAGCCCTACGGACCAGCGGTCCAGCTAAACCGCAATCTACAATCGATCTGCCGCGCTCTTGCCCTCTCAATTCGATGGTTGGTCGCTGAACCGAGCCTAGTGGAACGCTGCCACACTCCGGAAGGTTGGGCGTGGTGAGGCTCCCACCAACTAGACGAGTATCAGCCCACTGTGTATTGCATGCAATAACACCAATAATTTTTGCACCCGTGGTGCTCCAAGCACTTAAAATTATTTTTATTGCTGTTTTGCCAGTCTCAATAAAAATAACATTTTCGGAACCTCTGGATGGATGCTCGACGAATTTTCGTCAGCTATCATAGAGGCGACACTGTCGACGACAGGTGTCCTGTTATTTACCCGGCAGCAATACCATCCGGTGATATGCATTTGGTACTCTCAAATCGAGACCATGAGGAAAATGTAACCGCGTGATCCGCCCACCAGCGGAAAAGAACTGCGTATGATACGCCGTATCGTCGTTGCTGCATCGCAAGCTGGCGCGTTTCATTTTTATGCGTCGTAACTTAGCGAACACTCTCGCCGTACAATTCAACGTTGTCATGTGAGCGCTTGGTAATGAAGCACCCCCACAGATGCAGCCCTTTGCGTCGCTGCCTGCGCGAGCTTTAAGGCTGCTCTTGATGGCAGTCGCTTCTCCTCTTCAACTTGCACTCCGTTAGTGCATGACGTCCATAACCACTTGGTTTTTGTAAGCCAATTCAAAACCTACACTCTGGGATTCTCCAGCACGTGAAGAACACCCTCAGCTGCCGACTCCATTGCTCCACGCCCCCCGCTTCCATCCACACAACATCCACACACTCCTCCCCTATCTTGTCCACGCTGTTGTGTAGCAATGACGTCGATCTTCAGTGCGGGCCAGTCTATCTCAAGCATCGGCAAGTCCATGACTGCCATCGCCCGTGTGGAGGAACACCTCGCCACCTTCATGAAGAAGGTAAGCACGCTGCATTCGTACAAACTCAATCCGTAAAAGAGCATAGCAAGCTGACGTTAGAAATTGCATATTCTGTCAACTGGTAGGTGATTTACTTTGAAAAGTTCTTCCAGCGCATGGGGCAGAATCTGCCAACCTGTACGTTGCCGTCGATCGACAAGTCTCCTGTGTATTTACTGACAGATCGCTGTTTGTATTGTGCAAGTTTAGGCGTCATGGACACAGCGATGCTGTTGTTTCAGCGCTGCTACGAGTACCGAGACGAGATTCGCGACGAGTTAGAGTGAGTAGCTCAACTTCAGCTTTGACAGGATAGCACAGTGTTTAATCATGTGTATTGCTGTCGGTAGATCTACCGTGGCGTACGTGGCAGATGCAGGCCGCTGGGTTGTAGGAATGGGCGATTGGAACAGCAAGATGGAGAAGCGGTTGAACCAGATCAGCGAGCTCGTACTACTGGCCAACACGCTGCTGACGGAGTATGCTGTGACGGGCCAAGTGGGCGCTGAAGGTTGTCGAGAAGATCTGGACGCCTATCTGCAGATTTTATCAGCCACTGTCACGTTGAAGAATGCGCCTGTGGATGGAAAAATTACCGGTACTGCAGGATCGGATGGTCGGCCTCCAGTAGCTCGAGCTCAGTCAACGACCGCCGCCGAATTCAGCTCGGAGATGTCGGCTCTTGGGACGGAGATTACAGGGGCGTTCTCTGAGATGTTTGGGAGCCAGGAATTCGGCAGATCCGCGTCATCAGGAACCATCGGGCAGACATCCAGAGCCCAATCTTCTGAGCCAGATAATGACGCCATGAACCCATTTACAGATTCATATCGACGTCCAGTTGACCCGTACGCCAAAGGGGTAAGCAGTGCTGGTGCTTCAGTGAGTAGCAGTGTACAGAGTCTGCCGAATGGACCATTTGGAGGTGCAGTGCCTGAGTACCCACTCTCGGATGGAGACACCCCGGAAGGTCCATTGAGTCCTGTGAGTATGGGCGAGTACGAGTGCTTGGAGATCGACTCGATTCCGAAGTACGCCGCCTTTAAATCATCTGCTCAGCTCGCTCGACGCCAGTATACACCGGGGAGCAATAGCCTTGCTGCCAGCATGACAAGTGATGGCGGGAGAAGTGTGTTCAGCGAGTCCAGTACAGAGTACAACGACTTGTTTCCGTTACCGGTCTCGAAAAGTCTCAGCTGTCTGGATACGACCACTTCTTCGAAGAAGAAACTTCCGATGAAGCCGATCATGGACATGAATTACTCGTACGACTTCCAGTGTGAGGCAGCACACAACCCGTTCCTCTCACCAAATACGCCGGGCCCAGTGGCGTCGCCCCCTGACGTCCCCACTGTAGCTGACTTGCCAACTCTATCGTCGTCGGAACATAAATCAATGCAGTCGAGCAACGGACTTACGTCATCTCCACCATCGCCAGCACCGATAACTACACCGACTATGGCGATATTTGATACAAACATCGTGTCAGATCAGACAAGTGCACCCGGCTTGACCACCTCTCTTGCTACTTCTGCTGTTGGAAGAAGTGCAGTAAGGGGGCCTGTTCTCGGGACAGTGGCCTCGCCACCAGAACTTCACGAAGCTATCGACTATAGCAAAGCACACCCTGAAGCGCATCCAGCGCCAATCAGTGGACAAGTCGCGAGCGCGCAGCCTTGGAGTACTAACAACCACGGTATGCCAGAGGAAGGCGCTGACGCTGAGCAAGAGCACCGTGTTATTGATAACGAGTATGATCTGTTTGGGGTGAGCAAGTCGTAACATGAGCTCAGTAACATAATTTGCATGATATTTCTCGTCCTTCTGTCTCAGTTGCATCAGGGCGTGCCGTTTTTGTGGCGTTTGTAGTGCTCAGACGAGTCAGGAAGTGGAGGAGCGACCTCGACGTTCAGTCGTTGGCGCAGCTTCTCGATTGGCGTCTCGAACTCCTCTTCATACATGACGCAGTGCAGCGAGTGCGCGTTCCTGGACGCGCGGTTGGCCCAGGGCACATACACCTTCACAAGCAGACAGCGCTCCTCGCTGGAGAGACGCAGCGGGCCTACAAATGCGCTTAGAGCACTCACAGGCAGTTTGGAATGCGCCATCTCGACGTACTTGAGCGCAATCTCGCCCAGCTCCGTTGGGGGCACGTCGAATAGCGTGTGCCAGAAATCATGCAGCTCGCGGTGACGCTGCATGACATACGCGAGCTCCGGGTCGTCCACAAATCGTACAGGTGAGCGGCCGTCAGCGTCAAAACCGTGCGAATCCATGAACGTGGCATAGCGGCGGCCGAATGAGTCCTCCGGCAGCGCGCGCAGGTAGTCCATGTCGATCTTATCGTTGCGGATTACAGGCTTCTCGGCCAAGATACGCGCTCCCACGGGGTCGGCGCACATACGCGCGTGGATACGACGAAGCGCGTCGCGGCCTGTGACTTCTCCTAACGCTGCCAACATGTCGCCACGCTCCGGGTTCGCGAACACAGTCAGCGCCGATGTGACTGACAGCACGAGCTTTTGCAGCGGCGAAGTCGGCATGTGCGAGTCATACTGTATGCGGCGCTGCGGTAAACCAGCCACAGGCTCCATAGACTGATTTGAAAAGGGAGCGACAGACGGAGACGCGGCCGACTTGCGCGTGAGCGCGCGCGAGGCGCTAGCTGCTGGGGATGCCAAGCGAAAGCGCACCATGAAGGAAGATATTAATATGAGCATGAGGCCAAAATTGCGAGGCACTCGAATTTTACCCAATCAGAGAGCTAAATTTCAGCTATGTGGATTGGCTGAAAAGACGCAAGGAGGATGGGTACGATCTTAGAGCCCGCCGTCGTCCGCCGCCGCAAAAGAAGGCCGCCGTCAAGACAGCCAGGAGACGGCACCGCACACTCTGCGGCGCAAGCGGACGAGCAAGGATGGCGGACAGCAGACGCGTGTTCGTGCAGCTGGCGGGCGTGCGGGACTCGCAGGTGGAGGTTGGAGCGCCCGTCATGGCCTTTGTCATGCCCACAGACTCGTGGCTTTCTGTCGTCAACGAATTCCTCATGGTGCGATAACAATACCTGTGGGCTTATAACGCTGCTAGAAGTAGCATGTGGCTCACACAAATTGGCGCTGATGGGGAGATCGCATTGATTAACTTGTGTCGTGTGTGTCATATCGTAGAGCTGCAATGACGATGACATGGAGGTGGAGCAGCGGCCGCCGGGACTACTCGAAGGCTGCGTCGTGCTGCACGCGGCGTCGCTGCAGCAGACCTCGGACCCGGCAGGCTGTGAAGATGGCAAACAGTACATTTTATGTATGAACGCAGATGACGCTGTACGACTACAGAAGCAAAGGTTCGGAGACAGCACCGCCAGCAGCGTCACTGGAACCAGCGACACCGACGCGCTGGCCCGTGGCAGCATCGCTCTGACCGACCAGCTCGAGTCTCTGGAAGAACTAGACTATTACTTTGACGACGCTGGCACACTACGCCACTGTCGCACGAACCAGGCCGTGTACGAGCTCATGAGCGATGAGAGACGTGCAGGCGAGCTGGACGACATCGTCAAGGCTGCAATCTTTCACATCCAGATGGAAATGCTGGCTGAGCTGGCCTTCAAACAGGCGCGTGTCCCGCTCGACCCAAGACCTGACGAGCCAAAGGAAGCTCGTTCCAGTATTTTCCTAACTTCGGACTGGCGTACCAACGCAAACCTTCTCGTGGTGGTCAATGGTGGACGTGGAGCGCAACCAGGTATTTGGAGTCGAGATCTGCTAATACAGGAAGGTTTGGAACTGGGATCGATGCTGCCAGTGATGCGTCGTGCCACCGCCTGCAACTTTGGCGTGGCCGTGGTTAACCCCTCCACTAGCAACGTTACCATCGGGAATGATACTTTCCCTATTCGAGGGAGCTCGTCCCCCGATGAACACATGCTCTATGTGTGGGACAACATCATTTCCCGTGCTCAAGCACGCAACGTCTACGTTTTAGCGTACTCGTTCGGCGCTAAGTCGGTGGTGACGCTTATCCAGAAGCGAGAGGAACAGGTCGTCAAGCGGGTAAATGCGCTCGTGTTTGCAGAGGGCGCGTACCGCATCGACCCGTCGACTACATCTCCAGCTGTGGCCCAGTTCTTGAAGCAGCGTGCTATCAACTTTAAGGGCGACGCTCAGATCTCTGTGGGTGCACATATTCCCGCAGAAGAGGAGAAGCTCTCATGTAGCTGTCTGTCAGTTGGAGATCTCACGGCGTCAGGACCATCAGCGGACGGAAAATCGCCTCCAACTGCAGCGCCTACCTCAGCGCTGTCCAAGCGCAGCAGCAGCAACAAAGCGCGTACTATTAGCCTCTCGCTGGAAACGACATTCACTTATTTCGTATCTGCCCGTGATCGCGGCTGTGGTGCTGCGCAGTTTATCTCAGAGTCGGAAGCCAAGACGCGGACGTGGCTTGGAAACGTGATTCGCCATCGTCTGGACTCGCTGAAGCCTAAGAAGCAAAGTCGACGTCTCAGTGCAGCAATGGGTACCAATGCGAGCGAGTCGCCGCATCATCGGAAAACAGCTCGGCGATCGTCGCTGGACACAGACGCAAGCTCGTCGGCAATGCGCGCATCGATCGCCAGCAGTCGCGGTAGCAACTCGTCCAGCCATCACTCGCACGGCGTGTCAGTAAGCGACTTTGACTTGATCAAGGTGATCGGCAAGGGATCGATCGGCAAAGTTTTCCTCGTACGCAAGAAAGACACACACGTTGTTTACGCCATGAAGGTGTTGCGCAAGAAGAACGTGGTTCGCCACGGCTTGGAAGAGCATATCAAGACGGAGCGTCTAATTCTTGAAGAGATCGACCACCCGTTTATTGCGAGGTTGCGCTTCTCGTTCCAGACAAAGGACAAGCTGTACCTCGTGACCGATTACTGCTCTGGTGGAGAGCTGTTCCATCATATGTCGGACGATGGCTTCTCGTACGAATTGTCTCGATTCTACGCGGCTGAACTTGTGCTGGGACTGGAACATCTTCATCGCCTCAAGGTAGCCTATCGCGATCTCAAACCGGAGAATATCCTTGTTGAGGCCTCTGGCCACTTGCGCATTACAGATTTTGGGTTGTCCAAGCTGAACGTGGTTTCGGACAAAGGTGCGCAGACACTGGTGGGCAGTCCCGAGTATCTCGCACCTGAAGTGTACAACATGCAGAAATATGGCTACGCTGTCGACTGGTGGTCGCTCGGAGTGTTTCTCTACGAGATGCTCACTGGAGTGCATCCTTTTTTTGACGATAATCGGGAGGTCATGGTGAAGAAGATCATGACTCCTGGCTCCGTGAGCACGATGATGCCACCGGAGATGCCTCCCGAGGCAGCGTCGTTGATCTGCGGTCTGCTCACATTTAACCCCACCGAGCGGCTGGGATCGCGTGGGTCTCACGAGCTGCGTGATCACCCATTTTTTGCTGGAGTTTCCTGGGACGGACTAATGCGACGCGAGGTGATACCACCGTGGCATCCGGTGGTGCAAGACGAGCTGGACGTGGGCAACTTTGACGCCGAGTTCACGTCCGAACCAGTCGTGGACAGCGTGTGCACGCACCAGTCGATGGTGCTGAGCTCCACTTTTACTGATTTTACATTCAACCCCAGCATCTCGGATTCCATGCGCAAGAGATAAAATCTTAGAGTTAAGACCGTCAATGCGTTTCGCTTGCATTCTTGACCACCTACAGTAGTAATGGTCCTGTCTAGGCTAGCGCATGCAAGAAAAAAGGTGTACGTGCGTGCAGTGATAATAAACAAAACTTAGTCGTGCGTTTTCCGTCTGTCCATCGGATGGCACGATGAAGATACTTCTTACCTGTGCAAGTTTAGTTGCATACGTGTTCTAGCAGTTGTAAAAGGAAGGAGATTGGGTCATTTTTGCGACAGGCGACGCAATTATACCGGAGATGTTTTAATAAATCTACTCAGACAGCACTCACCCCAGACGTCACTATTGCACGCTCTCACCCCGGACGCCATTATTGCGTGCGCTGGCATCTTTCAGCTCCGTTGGTCATCTCCGACGCTAACCATTCAATAAAACGCAGATGTTCTGGGTCGGAGCACGCCTGTAACGGGCGTGGCGACGTTGAAGTGATCTGGCCAATCAAAGACCGCCGTTGGACAACTTCAAGCAAAAGATAACGGCCGAAAAAGCGCACCCAGTCAATGGGCTTGACCAAAAGTGCCAGCAATAATCGGACAGAACTGTGACGCTCTCTTTTCGGTGGAGATGTTCATTTACTTGCGGCTTCCTTTCCAACAGCGTCACCGCCTGCCGTGGCGCTGCTGAAGGTAGACCACCCCTGCTGGGCGCTCAACGTTTGCATTGCGAAGCCCAGCGTGGCATGCAAAACCTCATTGCAGGTCAATATTTCCAACGCAGTCGTCAGCGCAGCGCTGACTCTTCGCACCCTTTCACCTCGATAATGGAAAAATAGCGCTCGAATAAGCCGCCATGACACATTTTGCGCGATAAAGCAGCATTATACCATTTCACCGGCAGAAAAAACCATTAATCTCACAAGAATCTCTGAGATAAAAGCTGTAATTACGCACAAAATGTCAGAGGTTTCCAACTTTTTAACGCTAGTGGTTTCGAAACGGCCATCGACGCTCTTGCCCAGCTTTTTCTCCCAAGAAAGCCACCGCTAGCCAACGGGCTTGACGGCCACAGCGCCTAATATATACCTTTTCGCGCTGTCAAAACAAGAGCGCATTGATCGGTGTGCGAGGAAACCAGGAAGCAGAGCAGCACAAGAATTTCGCCATTGCTGGGTAGCATCTCCCTTCCACCAGTCAAGCTCAGTCAGTGACTCACAGCACAAGGTACCGCGCCCTTTCACTGCAGTGGTATCACTAAGATCACGCTGGTCTCGTTCCAGAAATCTTATTCAGATTTTCATGCGCAGGCCTCAGTCTAGTAGCATTTTACAATCCGAGTGAACGAGACAAGGCAAAAGACCGATAGACCTTCAGCGCTTACCATGCTCAACATTCAGCTACCTGAACATGCGGAGACCGTCAAGTCCGACAGCGGATCTCCGTCGTCTCCGTCCCATACACCAGAAGCCGATGGCGACCAGGACTTGGCGGCGTTCCTGGAGATCGGATCGCCCTACGGCTTCAAGCACGACGTGCACATCCACTACAACTTCCAGGAAGCGAGATTCGAGGGCATTCCAGACAACTTTGCCGACTACTTGGTGTTTGGAGCCCCGGAACGAGGTCGCGCAGACACAATCTGCTCAGTGGACACGTCGGTTTCCCAGGGCGTACGACGTATCAAGCGGACACGAACAAGTTCTGCGCCCCCCGCAAGCATGAGCTTGTCCAGTATGATCGCGAGCATGGACCCGATCAACAGCAACGACCCCGTGCGGATACTGAACCAGCACTTCAAGTTGCCATTCCGACAAGTTCCACGCCTTGCCGTCCCCGGCTACGAGGAAAGAATCCCTGCCGTCTTGATCATGCTGCAGCAACACTTTGTTGCCAAACGGGGATACCTGAACCCCCACATCTTCCGCGAGTCGCCCAGCAAGGCCGAACGAGACCAAGCGATGCTGGACATCAACTGTGGAGCTTTCCGAGGAGCGCAGCACGACGTTCGGGTGCTGGCCGACCTCATCAAGCTCTGGTTCCGTGAACTGCCGGTACCCATTCTGCACGAAATCCCTTCAGGCGAGATGGAGCGCTTGGCGTTGGCCGAGAATGTCGACGAAGTGCTGAGTCTGCTAGGAAATCTGGAGCACAGCATCATTCTGTGGTTAGCAGATCTGCTGGCCTTCGTGGCCGAGTACCAACCGCACAACCACATGGGCGTGGATCAACTCGCCATCGTCATCGCACCAAACCTCGTGCGTCTCGAGACAGAGAACCCCATGGTCGCTGTTGCTCTCTCCAAAGCCGTCGTCGACCTCTTCCGAGTAGTCCTTCGAGCTCGATTCCAGCGTCGCCAGGAGCTGAAGGCCGCTCGAGTCATCGAGAGCGAGGACTAAGGCGAGCAGTCGACTCCCATGTCTATGATCCTCTAGCGAATCCTGATAGCTTTCATCTATGTATAAGCTCGCTTTCAGGTTGTGCTGTGCAACTCTAAAACGAGCAAGTAGCGGACTGACATGTAGCCCCGATGATCATAATCTAGTGTTAAATTTGTTTCGAACACTGCCTTCTATGGTGTCGTTTGCACTGAGCCAGCTCATTTACGTCAGAAGCACAAACCCAACGACACAACAAGGTGCGTGTCAAAGGTGGACGACTATGCTACTACTTACAAGCTGGGCTGCCAGGCAGGGGTGTGTGTGTACTATATCTCTATCTATCTGAGCTGAATCGGGGTCGCTAGTACAGATAGGGCTGTAATTTCTCGATTCGGATCTCGTCCTGGCACAGGCTCTCTTCCAGTGCTGTCATGGCGTTGAGGAAGTACGCGCGGTCCTCTAGGAACTTGGCTCGCGAACGCCGACCCATCCGTTTCCGCTCCTCTATGGAGAGCAGCAGAATCTTCTCTACACCCCGCTCGATGTCAACTACGTCCACTTGTGCTAGTGGCATAAATAAGTCTCCCTTCGTCTGCCACCACCACGGGTGCGACTGTCCTACCAGCACGCCGCTCTTCTCGTCCACCAACTCGTTCATCGGCGGCACGTTCGTTGTCAGGATTAATGCACCAACGCTACGAGCCTCGTTGATATAATGACCGAACCCTTCGGTCTCGCTAGGACACAAGTGAAGGCCAATCTGGTTCTGCAATCGATCTTTCTCTTCGGCAGGCACTGAGCCACAGGCGTAGTCCACATTCTGCAGCCTCCACGAGTCCTTGTCGCCGAACTGCTCCTCGATCCACGCGCACAGATCAGCTTTAATCACTCGGATGATCAGTTGTGGCCATTCGGGATGCAACGCCCATGCCTGTAAGATCACACGCGTGTTCTTGAACGGACTCCAGCCCGCTAAGTGCAAAAATGACGTCCAATCACGCTGTACCGCCGGCTGATACAAGTCGCGACTCGTGTGTTTAGTGTAGAAGACGGAGTACGAGAGTTGATGTCGATGCCTGTACTCGAGCACTTTCTTGAGTCCGATGCGGTTCTTCACCATCATGACGCCCACCGTGGGGCTGTCCAGCTCGTGTCTGTCGAAGAACTCGACGTTCTGCATCATCCAGATACTTTTCTCTTTCGGTGCGTGGAAGTCTGGGTAGTATTTCTTGTCCACGGGATGTCGCTCCAGATAAATGTCAATAACTGACGGGGGCATATCCAGACGCTTGGCCTTCCCGTCACCGCTGTTGCTGTCGCTCTCCTGTTCGCCATTGCCTCTGTATGAATAGACGGGTCTTGCGGAGGGTAAGGCGTTCAGATACAGCTCAAAGTCCAGTAAAACGCCGGGGGAGTCACTGGGCGTCACGACGTTGATGCAGTACGCGGACTTGGAGTTGATGGCCTCGTGACCTTGACCTCTCGTCTGCAGGAAGAAGCCTGTAGGTAAATTCATCTGACGTTCTCGTTCCATTTCTTCTTCTTTTTCGGCCAATTGTTGTGCTTGAAGCGCCTGGATTTCAGCCAATGTCTCGGCCTGGAAGGTCTCACCTTCGCCACCTAATGGATTGCGGAATCCCTCCAGCTGAGCGGCCTCTGGTTTGCCTCTGATGGTCTGTTTGGGATCTCGCGCTAGTTCATTGCGCCGCCTCTCCTCTTCCTTCTGCTGCAGTGCTAATTCCCGTGGAGACACGAATAGAGACTGGAATAGCAGCTTCATGGGTGGCGCCAGCTCGGCGCTTGTGGGTGTGGGTGCTAGCAGCGAGCGCGAGGCTAGTGTGGCGTTGCAGAACTCTGTGTGTAGCTGAATCTGAGGCAATAGAGCGAAGAAGACCAGCTGCAGCAGACTGCCGATAAGCACCAGCAGGAACACGCAGGAGCGCAGCAGGAAGCGCGGTCCCGACGACTCGCCCATGCTCCGACGCAGGAAGACTGAGAGGAGCCGTTATGCTCAATAGTTTTATGGGAATGTTCGCGTACACCACGTCAACATGACGTGGTCCACATCATCCCTGATTGTTTATCTTCTGATTCAACTCTTTTTGGTCCGACGAATGGGGCGACGTGGCTTCTGGGTGCTGCTGCTCCTGACCCTGCTGGGATGCGTGCAGACCGCGCAGAACGGACCCATGCCGCCACCTGCACGCGCCCACTGCCGCGTGTTCGTCGTGGCGGCTGGGACGCACACGCGTGTGCTGATCCTGCAGAACGCGTACGAACAGGACGGGATCAACGTTTACGACCAGCTCCCAGCGTTATCTTCCGTCCTGCAGGATACAGATACGCAGGATGAGAAAAAGCGCGCAGAGGAGGCGTATACGACTCTGCGGCCAGCGTTCGACCAGGCCGTTGCATGGCTCAAGGACCGGGTGGACCCTGCGCTATGTTTTGCTCACTTCGTCGTGGCGGAATCAGAGATGTCGTCTAATTCTGAGACACAGGACGACGCGGCACTCGTGACCAGACGCCTTGACCATCTTCGAGCCCGAGCCAGACGCGATGGACACTTTCCCTTTGCGCTGAACGCGGAGCAGCAAGATAACAAGGAGAGCGTCGCTTCTAGCGGAGATTTGCGTGTCGTGCCGGCCACTTGGCGTCGCTACTTCCACATAGTCGGTACTAATTATTTCTCAGGAAAAGTAGCTCCGTCGCTCAGTCCTGGACAAGTCGAAGTCTTCGGACTGTTGCACGTGGACGCCGGAGGACACGCTGGCAGATTGAGCTCTGAGTCGGACTCAGATGCTGCTGAAATGGTGTTCGATGTTCGAGAGCGATGGAGACGCAGTAAACGACAGCGACAGGTCAGTGTGGCACTTAACGTTAGCGATTTCTATGGACGAGAGTATCCAGGCTTTGGACGGCGTGCAGTTCAGCAGGCAGTGGTCCAACTGAAGCAGGAAAAAGACAAGAAGGCCGCGTCGAGTGCTCTGCAACACCCATGCTTTTTAAGAGGCCACTCGTCAGTTGTTGAGGGTGTGAATGTGACGCTGGACGGCACTGGAGATGCAGATAAATGCATGACACTGCTGCGATCGCACATCGCCTCAAGTAACGCCAACTGTCCACCGGAGAACTTCTGCTTCTTGGGCAGTACACCTCAGCCACAAAGCGCTGGATCTTTCTACGCGTCAGGAGTGCTGAGAGAAGCGGTGATCAGTGCAAGTCGAGTGCTGGGGCTCACAAGCAGCAAGCTCGAGGAGAAAGAGGTGGATCAACTCCAACTCCCGACGCCGACTCTCACGGCCTTGCGGAACGCTGCCAAGAGTTTGTGTGCACTGCCACACAAGGATGTAGCAGCTGGAGCAGCAGCGTCACGCCATGTGGGAAACGATACCAAAGCACTCGATGCTCTATGCTTCGACCTGTGCTATACAATCGTGTTGCTCGAGCAACTTGGCATCCAGGACGCCGACGAACGCGTTCAATTCGTGGACCACTTCGAGAAACAACCAGAACTGTCAGGACATGGATCTCTGGCGAGTGGCGATCATGACGGACGGTCTGAGCTGGTGGCTTGGCTCACAGGCGCATTCCTGTATCTGGAGGCACTTCAACGCAAGGTCACGTTCTCTATTGAGTCCGAGTTATTGGCAGAGCAGCTCAGTGCGGGACTCCCTCTCGGCTGGAATATGAGCTTGATGGTCTTCGTGGCCGCCTGCGTCTACCTGTACCTCACGACTGGCCGAGCAGGGGCCAAGGGGAGAGCTGGTCGACGTTCTGGTAGCTACCACCGCGTTGTCAATGGTGGGGCCAAGGCGAAATACAAGGACGCGACGCAGTCCATATCGTTCATCGACGACGCTCGTGAATAGTAGTCTCTTGCCCAGATTTGGGACGGGCAGAATTGATCTTTCGGTATATACAAATAGTAATATATTCACGTTGATCTTTAACGGGGCGAGCAATGCCTCGCCCTTGCGTGAATAACGGAGCGATTGTCGGAGTGAAATAACAAGCGAAAGAGCAGGAAAACTTTCGCTATTTTGTGTCAATTCAAGAGAGTTCAAGTGGAGCGTTTTAGCAAAAATGTTGCCCTGGACTCGTCAATTGTCACCATGGCCGTGTTCCGTACCGAGTGCAATTTCGCAGCCCATCAGACTCGCTCTCGAGACTCTCGTGTTAGTGCTGCGCAACTCGTTGCTCTGTATCGCCGTGGGTTGGCTGTTCGGCTACTGTTTTACTGTGGGGAACTTGCTCTCTGGATCACCGCCAGCCCAGCAGTCGTACGCAGACTTTAGTGCTGCGAACATTGCGTGGTTCTATGGCATCTTTTCTCTGTGCATGGTGGTCTTGATGGCTACGAAGTTGCTGCCCGAACAGTTTAAGGGGGCAGCAGCCCACGTAGGCTGAATATCTTCCAGTGTACTATGAAGTTACTGCGGCACATAATGCCGCATCTCGTGCTGTCGTCGACTATAGTCGTCGGGAGAGATTTTGTCATGTATTCGAAGGTATCCGAGTCGTGGCATCAGCTCAAACTGTGCGTGTATATTGCGGCCTTCTGGGGCTTTTACATCATGGCGATCGCTGACGTGTTCGTGCGGTATATTTACCGAACGGAGACTGTGCGCGGCTCAGCTCTTTTGCAAGCACAAGTACTGAAAGTATGTAATCCCCATGAGCCTTCGAGCGACATAAACCTCACCAGACTTCAGCCCAGACACCGACACTTCTGGATGCCGTCGCTTCGTCGATTCTCGAAAGTGTACGCCCGCAACCTACCAGTCATGTTTTTCGCAATGATCTCTATCGTATATGTCCACGTCATGAGTCAGTTCGTTGCGCTACAAGGCCAGTGGGAGCTGCTAGGCTTTGCTAGCACCAGTATCGCACTTAAATTGGCACTACAAGAGCTTGCCAAAGCTTTGATGATTGCAGCACGCAAGCCAGTGTCCAGGAGAGTGATGGTAACACTGGTGGCGACGCCAACGATCCTTGTGGACACCCAAGTGCGCATGCTGCTGCTTCGACAGTCTAGTACCAATGTTTCCGTTGTTGGGTCTGTACTGCTCGCTGGATTCGAAATCGTTGTTCGTGCAGTCAAGTCATTTATTGTCCAGCGGCGGACTCGAGGACTTCCAATCCCTCAGGACATCTCTCGACGGTGGTCCAGCTTTGTTAACGCGCCGACTATTAGACTGGCGACCACGACTCAAATAAAGCCACTGCAAGTACTGCCGGTTTCTAGAACAAATTCCTGTAAGCTAGTGCGAAATGGGACAACAGCTCACTTGTCAAGAAACGAGATGGTACGGCAGTGTAAAGCTCGTAGAGAAGCTGAAGAGCGCCGGCTGAAGCGTCGAGTACTGCATGCGGCCGAAATCTACTCGGACATGTACGCAGAGTACATTGCTATCGGTTGCTCTTACGCGATTCTCTTTTTCTACCGAGATCACCCGCAGTTTCAATTCAGTTTACTCTCAGAAGGATCATCCCTATTGACGAAGACGAGAGAAGCTACGAGTACTCAACAGAATCGCCAACTTGCACAGTTGGGCGCACTTCAGATGGGGACAGAAGTAATTGTGGATCTCCTCGCATGCGTGCTTGAAGCTGCTGAGGGCGTCGAATTCAAGAGTTTTGACCAAAACGATTCATTCCTGGTGTATTTCATGGCGGTGCTGGCCTTCTCGAATGTTGCCATTTCTGCAGGGCTTTACATGCGGTAGGAATAATTTCCGTATCATGGCTTAGCTACTACGCTACCTTAAAAAAAACGGTTTAATTACCGGTAAGGTCAGCGCTCTGGATTTTATCCAGGGGACGTGATTATCCAGCGATTTCGTATACCCTGCCATAACAGGTTTGAATATCCAGTCTAATAAGAAAGCTTCCTTTGCACAAATAATATTATTCACGTAAGTTGACTAGATAAAATTTGTTTAGCAAAGTAATTAAATTACCTTGATAAACTTGTATGCGATGATGATTCTGTATAATAACCTGCCAGAAACTGTTTATCCAAACCGCTCACGCAACATTAGAGCTAGACTCTTTCTCAATGACCAGATCTTTGCGGCAAAAGCGAGCACAGTTTAGTTAAGTGTCCATTATTAGTCGGACACGGGGCACACATTTAGTAGTGCGCTGTAGATGCAGCTAAGACATCTCGGCACCGGCATATGCGACAGTCTGGCGAGACGGCGGAGAAACAGATACTCAACCAATATCACGTGGACTCGTACGCGCAGTCCAATCTTGTTTTTTATAGTGCAGCGTCACGCCTACGTGGACTCGTACGTGCAGCCCAATCTGACCTTTGCACTACACACCACGGACGCTGAAGCTTTCATTAAATTGCTCTCAAGAGCTGTAAACAGAGGGTAATAGCCTCTCTGGATTGAAACGCCGCTTCAGTAGACGCGAATGTAGTTAAAACTATCACACCAGGTGCGAAGATGTCATTAATGTGAAAGACACTAATGGTAAAATGAGTGGGCAGCAAGATACATGGAATGTGCAGTCTTCGTTGCTAATGCGACAGAGTAAGCTACTACGACTTTCGTCTGCTTCGGGCGCATGCAGATTAATCTGAAAGTGCTGAGGACAAACTTTGAAGAGGCTGTGGTGGGAGCAGAAATATTTTAATAATAATTCGATATGATCAAAGTAATCTAATCTACAGGCCAACACCGATGCAGCACGCCATGTTGTACACCGTCGAAGAATATTATGACACTTTTCTTATGACATGTGAACTGTGCCTTAAATGTTCTGGTAGCTCCTATCTTACTATGCCGTTTCGTATGCACCCACGTTATGAGATCTTATAACGGCGTCCGGGTATTTCTAAACAGGTATTATTGTCAATTCCAGTGAAAATTGGATACCGAGGGATAGTCTGAAAAATCAACACTTAGAAATGATTGGTCAAAACTCACCAGCTGCAACTTAGGTTGAACCACAAGCTGATATTGATGCGAAGTAGCGTCCGCTTGGGATGCTGGTATCTGTTGCTCAGGTTGACCAACAGGAGATGTAGCTCGGGGTGATGTTCGACGTCGTGTGGAACGTGGAGTCCGCGGCTGTCTAGCTGTACCAGGGGATGGAGAAGGTCGAGCTTGAGCTGATTCACCAGGTGATCTTGCTGCTCCAAGAAGTGACGCTCGTTGGGCTGCGGATGACACTGGACCCGGGGTTGAGTATGCCCTAGTCGTGGTCGCTGGCAGTGCTTCTCGGTCTGGAGGTGTACGCCGTCGTATTGGACCTGGGTGGGGCGGTGAAGTCTCCGTTGGCGTCCGAGTACGCTCAGGATATGGAGATACACGGGCCGAATGTGGCGATACACGTGTTCGACCACCACAGCGTGCACCATCAGCTGATGCAGCACCCGCTGGTGGGGGTCCTCTTGCGCTACCAGGCGAGACGTTAGATCGGAGATCCATTACCGCTTGCTGACACGGGAAACGTTGCCGATGCGCTCTGCTCTGAGCTTGCAGTGTGTGGAAACCTGTCGCATGTAATGTTTCCGTATGATGTATGGTAGGATGAACGATTTCATAGGCCATTCTGCGCGGGTGATTAATAAATCAGGCAGTCAAGTTTTGAGTAGAAAGCACAATATCCCGATTTCACAACAGGTTTTGCCCAGGTATGGGATTTATTTTTTATTTCCGAAAAACACATTTTTTCTCACAACCACCGATTGGAAGAACAAGCCATGCGGCAGCTCCCTGACCCCGCGAGTGCTGTCATCCTTCACCCCTCACCATGGCACGGACCCACAAGACAACCGTGATCCAGGCACAGATGGCGGAGAAGGTTCGCCTCGAAGAAGAGGAAGCACGCCGGCGAAACGGGACTCAGGTTGCAGACCTTGAAAGCGCGCGAACGAGCTCTGAAAAAGCTGGCGCGTTCGGCCGCGCGAGCGAGCGCCAGAGTGACGACCCCGTTATTTCTCTTACTACATGAGCTAAGGATGCAGAAGAGGCCGACACAGAAGTAAAAAAGAGGGAATAGAAGAGCAAGAACCCGAAGAAGGAGCCGCAGAAGAAGAAAGGGAAAAAGAAGATGATGAAGAAGAAGAAAGTGAAGAATAATAATCAGCTGCTGCTGAAGAAAAAGACGAAGAGGACATTGAGGAAAATGCATCTGGAGTAAAGGGGGGGGCAAGGGAAAGAAACGATCACTTTCGGATGTGGAAGATGAGTATTTGGCTGGGGTCCCTGCCTTTAAGAAAGAGCACGACGCCTGGGCAAGTCTTGAGGTGAGCCTGCGCGAATACATGGCGAATACACACCAAAAGATTGTGATAAAGGAAGTTATAAACCGGAAGATGTTAAACAAGCTGGCGGGTGGCATCAAAGTGAAGGCACTGAAAGGTAATACGTACGAACGGGTGAGTGTTACGGAACCAAAGCAGAAAGATGGCAACAATTGCGGGGTGTTTGCGTCACTGTTCTTCTGGCGCTGTGTAAGTGATGAAGCCTCAAGTGATCCGTCACCTTCTGGCATAACGAACCTGCGCTGGGTCCTGCTACAAGCCATTTTGAAGATGAAGCAGCGCAAGCTGAGAGGCTTTGATCTCTACATTTTCAATACATGTTTGATACCTGGATAAAACTTGGAAATTACCCGTGTTTGTGTGATGAAGTCTTGAGCTTATGGTGCTGCTGAGCTTGCAGCCGACACAATGAAGTGGTGTTCATTCCATCTGTTTTCCAAGTCGGACACATGCTAATTGAACAGGTGTTATACATGTACCTGGACAATACGCGGACCACCTTTGACCATATTGGTTGACTGCGAGACATTCAGCTCTGCTCACCCATATTATTTGTTTAGCACCGCACATACGTATTGCCCAGATACTTTCACCTGAAAAAAACCTGGTAGTGAAATATACATATTCAAAATAAATTACGCCTTCTGATTTGGAGAAACCTGTATGAGATCTGGAACACAACCTGGATGGTAAATGGCGAATCAGAACTCTGAGTTTTTTTTTATCTGGAAACCCCGGACACGAAGGTCGTCCTTTTAAATAACCAAAAAGTAGTACGTATCAGATACAACTATCAGATTCTGATACTTAGTGATATGAGTATTAAATATTCCTTACTGTTCGACACAATCGTGACTTTCTCAAGAATATCGCGATATCAGTTTAAAAAAAACTTGGATGTCTACAGTATTACACGATAGCTACTAGCCTACGCATTACTATCACCCTCCCTTGTAATCAAGTGATAGATGGAAGGTCACCCCTTCTGGCTGTACGCACGCTCGCAGTTGGCAACCAGCACTCGAAGACCTTGGGTACCACCACCAACTCCGCCATGAACACCAAACAATTTTTCCTGCGGTCGAATGAAGAAGTCTTTCTAGCAGCTGGAAAATTAGTTGCACGCTTTGCATCAATAAGATTAATATACTGCCCCCGCGCAAACGTTTGATTGGTATACAGCCTGTATACCACATGATCATCGACACATCCACCCACGTGGTTGGACGATCGACGTATAGAGCTGTGATTTTTCAAGAGTCCGCCCAAAGCGGAAGACAGGCTTTCTTCACCAAGCATTATGCTCACAGAACCATGGCTCTGCTTTGCGGGGACAAAACGCGGTCATTAAGAGTTTGAGGAGAGGCCGAGACGACAATCGGTACTTGATCTTGGATATATCACTTTTTCCAGCGCTGAAGGGAGTTACGTGTAGCCCGTTTGGAGCCGTACCAAAGGGCGACATCAATTTAATCATTGATGCCAGAATTTTACACGACCTATCCTGTCCGAAAGGTGATTCGGTGAATGACCAATCCCAGCATGAGCCTTCAGTGAAGGTGACCTACGACGGTGCATCCGCTTTAGCTCGTCGTATCCTTCACGTGGAAACTACATTGCCAGGATTAACGAAAATGTCCACGACGATGTTGCGGGCGCTCTCCCCAACATTCCCCTGGCAGCCGATCTGGCAAGCCGATTCGCAGGCACTTTTACCGAGCTGGGAATACTAGAGATCGACCTATCGTGTCCTTTTGGGTGGACGGATTCGCCGCGACAGTACTGGACGGCAGGTGGCGCTATCGTGCCTTTGCATGCTAACACATCGCCGATGTGGCTAGCCTAGAGTATCGACAGGTCAGGCTGTATTGTGGAAATGCATGGTGTGACAACCACATCTGCATCGAGCCCGACATCGGCTTGAGGCTTTTAGAAGCTAGTATGTCGTTACGAGCGGCAATGGTCACGATTATCGGTCCACATGCGTGCAACCACGAGAGGTTTCTCCGAGGAAAGGCCCTAGGACTAATTCGGAACCTCAAAGCGCTGACACTGTCAATGCCCGACGAAAAAGTTGCGAAAGCAATTGGACGTATACGATCAGCGCTGCATGTCGACATACAGGCTGCGACCCTACAAATCCAGAAGTAGCCAAAGTGGCACTGAACATTGCATTAAAAACATAATTCCTATATTTCGATCGTGTAGAGATTTAATAGATGCGTATTCGGCTACAACAACAGACAAATGAAACAAACAGGACCTAAAATGTCTTGTTAGTGATGGGCTCCAGGGACTTGAACTTACGTAGCCTTGTCCACCGACATTTTCGCAAACGGCGATGGTTCTACACGCTTTTAATAAGTATGCACCGTAGAGAAGCGACGGGAGCAGTGTGGTAGGCAGCGATGTCCCAGGCTGCAGCGAGCGCGCAGCACGCACCAT